GGACACAGGATTGGCACAGGGACACAGGGTGTGGCACAATGACACGGGGCGTGGCACAGGGGTGTGGCACAGGGACACGGGTGTGGCACATGGACATGGGTGTGGCACATGGGTGTGGCACAGGAACATGGGGTATGGCACGTGTGTGTGGCACAGGGACACGGGATTGGCACAGGGACATGGGTGTGGCACAGGGGTGTGGCACAGGGACACGGGATTGGCACAGGGACACGGGATTGGCACAGGGACACAGGATTGGCACAGGGACAGGGGGTGGTACCTGGGTGTGGCACAGGGACACGGGGTGTGGCACAGGGACTCGGGATTGGCACAGGGACATGGTGGGGGTGGCACAGGGACACAGAATGTGGGACACGGGCACGGGGTGTGGCACATGGATGTGGCACAGGGACACGGTAGGGGTGGCACAGGAGCACATGGGGTGTGGCCCATGGGCACGGGGTGTGGCACAGGGACACGAGGGGGTGGCACAGGGACACAGAATGTGGGACATGGGCACGGGATGTGCCACAGGGACATGGGGTGTGGCACATGGGTGTGGCACATGGGTGTGGCACAGGGACATAGGGTGTGGCACAGGGGTGTGGCACAGGGACACGGGGCAGGTGGCACATGGGCACACGGGGTAGGGAAAAACCCCAGCCCCAGCTCCCACACAGCAGCACCGTGCCTCAGTTTCCCTTCTCACCCAGCCACAGGCAGGATGGGGATGAGCCCAGAGTGGGGAGAGGAGGAGCCCCCCCAGAGCCCCCCTGATTTCTGTACCCCCCCGGGGGACATCAGGGATGGGCACAGCGAGCACGGAGGTGACAGCTGGACAAGCACAGGTGACACGGTGACACAGTGGGGCCGTGTCCCCCCACCCCAGGGCTGGCCCTGAGCCCTGTGCCAAACCCGGTCCCAGTGCCCAGGGGAGGTTTGGGGGGCACGGTGCCAGGCCAGGGGCACGTGCTGGGGACAGGATGTGACAGCAGCCAGCCCTGAGTCACCGCTGGCCACCGGATCCAGCTGGGGAGGGACAGGAGGGGACAGGAAGGGACAGGAAGGGACAGGAGGGGACAGGAAGGGCCCTTGGCTCCAGCCCCTGGTCCCCAACAGCTCCCACAGTGGGGCTGGGGGCTCCATTCCCAGTTTGGGGCTCCATTCCCAGTTTGGGGCTCATTCCCAGTTTGGGGCTCCATTCCCAGTTTGGGGCTCATTCCCAGTTTGGGGCTCCATTCCCAGTCTAAGGACCCCATTCCCAGTTTAAGGACCCCATTCCCAGTTCAGAGCCCCCATTCCCAGTTTGGGTGCTCCATTCCCAGTCTAAGGACCCTATTCCCAGTTTGGGGGCTCCATTCCCAGTCTAAGGACCCCATTCCATGTTCAGAGCCCCCATTCCCAGTTTGGGTGCTCCATTCCCAGTCTAAGGACCCTATTCCCAGTTTGGGGGCTCCATTCCCAGTCTAAGGACCCCATTCCATGTTCAGAGCCCCCATTCCCAGTTTGGGGGCTCCATTCCCAGTTTAAGGACCCCATTCCCAGTTCAGAGCCCCCATTCCCAGTTTGGGGGCTCCATTCCCAGTCTAAGGGCCCCATTCCCAGTTTGGGAACCATGTGGCCAGTTTGGGGATTCCATTCCCAGTTTCAATACCATTTTCCCAGTTTGGGCACCTCTTTCCCAGTTTGGAATTCCCATTTTCAGTTTTGGGTACCCTTTTCCCAGTTCCACTTTGGGGACTGTGTGTCCAGTTTGGGACCCCATTCCCAGTTTGGGAACCCTATGAGACCCTGTTCCCTCTTTGGGGACCCTGCTCCCAGTTTGGGGACCCCATTCCCAGTTGGGAACCATGTGCCCAGCTTAGGAACTCCATTCCCAGTTTAGAATCCCCATTCCCAGTTTAGAAACTTTATTCCCAGTTCAGGGAGCCTACTCTCAGTTTGGGAACCCTGTGCCCAGTTTAGAATCCCCATTCCCAGTTTAGAATCCCCATTTCCACTTGAGAGACCCCATTCCCAATTTAGAGACCCCACTCCCAGTTTAGAATCCCCAATCCCAGTTTAGAAACTCCATTCCCAGTTTAGAATCTCCAATCCCAGTTTAGAGACCCTGCTGCCAGTTTAGAATCCCCAATCCCAGTTTAGAAACTCCATTCCCAGTTTAGAAACTCCATTCCCAGTTTAGAATCCCCAATCCCAGTTTAGAGACCCCACTCCCAGTTTAGAATCCTCATTCCCAGTTTAGAAACTCCATTCCCAGTTTTAAGACCCCATTTCCAGTTTAGACCTCCCATTCCCAGTTTGAAGAGCCCATTCCCAGTTCAGAATCCCCGTTCCCAGTTCAGAGCCCCTATTCCCAGTTCAGAGCTCCTATTCCCAGTTCAGAGCCCCCGTTCCCAGTTCAGAGCCCCCATTCCCAGTTCAGAGCCCCCATTCCCAGTTCAGAGTCCCCATTCCCAGTTCAGAGCCCCCATTCCCAGTTCAGAGCCCCCGTTCCCAGTTCAGAGCCCCTATTCCCAGTTCAGAGTCCCCATTCCCAGTTCAGAGCCCCCATTCCCAGTTCAGAGTCCCCATTCCCAGTTCAGAGTCCCCATTCCCATTTCAAAGCCCCCATTCCCAGTTCAGAGCCCCCGTTCCCAGTTCAGAGCCCCTATTCTCAGTTTGAGGAGCCTATTCCCAGTTCAGAGCCCCCATTCCCAGTTCAGAGTCCCCATTCCCAGTTCAGAGTCCCCATTCCCAGTTCAGAGCCCCTATTCCCAGTTCAGAGCCCCCGTTCCCATTTCAGAGCCCCCGTTCCCATTTCAGAGCCCCCGTTCCCAGTTCAGAGCCCCCATTCCCAGTTCAGAGTCCCCGTTCCCAGTTCAGAGCCCCCATTCCCAGTTCAGAGCCCCTATTCCCAGTTCAAAGCCCCCATTCCCAGTTCAGAGCCCCCGTTCCCAGTTCAGAGCCCCTGTTCTTAGTTCAGAGCCCCCATTCCCAGTTCAGAGCCCCCGTTCCCAGTTCAGAGCCCCCATTCCCAGTTCAGAGCCCCTGTTCTTAGTTCAGAGCCCCCATTCCCAGTTCAGAGCCCCCGTTCCCAGTTCAGAGCCCCCATTCCCAGTTCAGAGCCCCCGTTCCCAGTTCAGAGCCCCCGTTCCCATTTCAGAGCCCCCGTTCCCAGTTCAGAGCCCCTATTCCCAGTTTGAGGAGCCTATTCCCAGTTCAGAGCCCCCATTCCCAGTTCAGAGCCCCCCTTCCCAGTTCAGAGCCCCTATTCCCAGTTCAGAGTCCCCATTCCCAGTTCAAAGCCCCCGTTCCCATTTCAGAGCCCCCATTCCCAGTTCGGGGTGCCCATGCCAGCCCCTGCCCCCCTCCCAGTGCCCCAGGGCACCTCCTCAGGCTGGAATTCTCTGGGATTCCGGGCCCAGCTGCCCCGGGGCTCCTGTGGGGCAGCAGCTGCCACCAGGGCTTGGGTTTCACCCGGGGGAGGGGGGGATTGATCCCTGTGGGACCCCCCCAGCCCACCCTGAACCCCCCCCCAGAGCCAGAGGGGCCCAGCCTGGCCAAACCTGGCTGGGGGGGGCAGCAGGGCTGGGCTGGACCTCGGGGAGGGGGTGGCAGGGGGTCCCAGCACCCCCAAAGCCCACCAGAACCTCTGGAACCTTCCTCCTCCTCCTCCTCCTCCTCCTCCTCCTCCTCCTCCTCCTCCTCCTCCTCCCCAGGGGTCCCAGGTCAGAGCCTGGCCCAGCCTGGCCTGAGGCTACAGTGGGGGCTCAGGGGGGCACCAGAAATGCCTGAGCAGCCCTGGGGGGGAGACCCTGACCCCCCTACTGCCCCAGCTGAGTGGGGACAAAGGGAATGGGAAGGTCCTAGATCCTGGTCCAGACCCCAGACCCCCAGTTCTGACCCTTGGTTCAGACCCCAGACCCCCAGTTCTGAGCCCTGGAGAGACCCCAGACCCCCAGTTCTGCCCCCTGGTTAGACCCCCAGTTCTGCCCTCTGGACAGACCCCAGCCCCCCAGTTCAGGCCCATGGCCAGACCCCAGCCCCCCAGTTCTGACCCCAGTTCTACCCCCCTGGCCAGACCCCAGCCCCCCAGTTGTGACCCCTGGTTCAGACCCCAGTTCTGCTCCCTGGCCACCTCCCAGCCCCCCAGTTCTGCCCCCCCAGACAGGCCCTGGTTCCCCAGTTCAGAGCCCCCAGCTCATCCCTCAGACCCCTCCCCACTCCTGCCCCCCCTCCTGCTAACAAACCCCATTTGGGGAGGGGGAGCACAACCAGGAACACCCAGAAAGGCTCTGCTGGGCACCCCCAGGGCACGGGGGGGGCAGAGCAGAGACCCCCGGGGCCACCCCACCCTCAGTGTGAGCTCCCCAGGCCCCCCCCATCACCCTTTTAGGACCCCCAGAAAGGAACCTGGGGCTGCCAGGGACCCCCTGGGACCCGCCCTGTGATTCCTTGCCCTGGTTACCCTCACTGGGACCCTCAGGATCCTCCTCAGCACCCCCTTGTGACCATCCGGGACCCCCGGAACAGCCCCTGGGACCCCCGAAACCCCCGGGAGCCCCTCGAGCCTCTCCTGTGACTCCACCCAGAACTCCCGGTGTCCCCACCCCAGCACCCCGAAACTCCCCCAGTGTCACCCCCATGTCCCCCCCACCCACGCCACGCCCAGTGCCACACCCGTTACCACGCCCCCATATGACGTCACGTCCTCCTAGTCCCGCCCACCGTAATGGCCCCGCCCACTGCCCCGCCCTCCGCGCGCCCCGCGCGCCCCCTGCCGGACTCCCGCCGCACCTGCACTCAGCACTCTCCCCTCTGATTGGCTACCCGCTCCCAGCCAATGAGAGACAAGGAGTCAACACCCAGCCGCTGTCTCAGCCAATCGCAACGCGAAGCGGCGCCCCGCCTTCCGAGCGGGCAAGCACCGCCCCTACAGCCAATCAGCGCCGGGCTCGCAGGGTGATGGGCGGGCGCAGGAGGGCGTTTCCACCAATGGGCGCGGCGTGCGGCGCGGCGGGGGCGGGGTTAGCGCGGCGGCTTCCAGAGAGTTCGGAGACGGCGGCGGAGCGGCGGCGGCGGCGGTGAGTGGCGGGGGGGCGGCCCCGGGACCCCGCCGCGACCCCCGGACCCCCCCGGGCTCTCCTCGACCTCCCCGCGACCCCCGCCCCGCCCGTGTCAACGGGGGCCCGGCCCGCACAGCCCCGAGCCGGCTCCTCGGGGTGCCCTGGGGGCCTGCAGGGCTCGGGGGGGGCTCTGAGGCGACCCCTCCTCCGGGAGCACCGGGCTGGGCTCCGCTCCGCCGCTCCGGTGTGCGGTGTGGGGGCATCCCGGGCTGTGGACGCGCTGTCACCGTGTCACCTCCTCCCGGTACCCCCGGTGCGCGACCCGTGGGGCCGAACCGCCCCTCACGGGGTTCCTGGGCTGGGGCGATCCCGCTCGAAGGTCCCGGGCCCAGCCTCGGTCCCGGGGGTCTCGGGGGACAGACCCCGCTCCAGCCAAGGGGATCCCGCCTTGCACTGCCCCGGACGGACCGGCCCCGGGGGACAGTCCCCGCTGCGGTCCCGGGGAGCCGCTCCGGAGTGGGAAGCGGGGGTTATTTACCCGGGCGCTCCCCGCGTCCCCCCGTGTCGCACGATAAACGTGTCCCCACCCCACGCGGGGCTTATCGGCTGTGACACATGGCCCGGGGGGGACCGGGCACCCCCGAGCCCGCCCCTCCTTGCCGGACCCCCGTGCGGTGCCTGGCTGTCCCCGGTGGCACCGGTTCGGACATCCCCTGTCACCCGCTGTGCATGAGGGACAGCAGGGATCAAAGCATTTTGGGGGGGACGGGACTTGGGGTCCACTTGGAGGAGCCCCGTGTGGGGTTGTTGTCACCGCCCCCTGTCACACTGCGGGGAAACTGAGGCAGGGCTGTGCATGAGGGACAACAGGGATCAAAGCCTTTTGGGGGGACGGGATTTGGGATCCACCCCTACACATGCAGGAGCCCCGTGTGGGGTCTGGCTGTCGCGTTGTTGTCACCACTTTGTGTCCCACTGCAGGGAAACTGAGGCAGGGCTGTGCAGAGAGAGAGCAGGGATCAAAGCCTTTTGGGGGGACAGGACTTGGGGTCCACTTGCAGGAGCCCTGTGTGGGCTTGTTGTCACCACCTTGTGTCCCACTGTGGGGAAACTGAGGCAGGGCTGTGCATGAGGGACAACAGGGATCAAAGCCTTTTGTGGGGACAGGATTTGGGGTCCATCCCCACACACATGCAAGACCCCTATGTGAGGTCTGGCTGTCGTGTTGTTGTCACCGCCTTGTGTCACACTGCGGGGAAACTGAGGCAGGGCTGTGCAGGGGAGGAGCAGGGATCAAAGCCTTTTGGGGTCCTTTTGCAGGAGCCTTCTGGGGTCCATTTGCAGGAGCCCCGTGTGGTGTCTGTCTGTCGCGTTGTTGTCACCACCCCGTCACACTGCGGGGAAACTGAGGCAGGGCTGTGCAGAGGAGGAGCAGGGAGGGGGTCCTTTTGGGGTCCATTTGCAGGAGCCTTTTGGGGTCCCATTTACAGGAGCCTTTTGGGGTCCATTTGCAGCAGCCCCATGTGGTGTCTGTCTGTCGTGTTGTTGTCACCGCCCGTTGTCACACTGCGGGGAAACTGAGGCAGGGCTCCAGCAGCGCTCACTCATCGGGGCTTTGGGGCTCACTCAGAGCTCAGGCTGGCTGGCAGTGCCAGGCTCACAGCCCTGTCCTGTCCCAGCAGGTCACAGCAGGCGGGAAGATGGTGAAGGAGACGGGTTACTACGACCTGCTGGGCGTGCGGCCGGGCGCCAGCCTGGACGAGATCAAGCGCGCCTACCGGCGCCTGGCACTGCGCTACCACCCCGACAAGAACCCCAGCGAGGGCGAGCGGGTACGTGCACCCCCCTGACCCCCTCCCCGAGCCCCCCGTGCCCAGCTGACCCCCCTGTCCCCTCCCCAGTTCAAGCAGATCTCCCAGGCCTACGAGGTGCTGTCGGACGCCCACAAACGGGCGCTCTACGACCGCGGCGGCGAGCGCGCCATGAAGGAGGGAGGCCTGGGGGGCCGCGGGGGAGGCGGCGGCTTCGGCTCCCCCATGGACATCTTCGACCTCTTCTTTGGAGGGGGAGTGAGGATGCGTGGCCGGGCAGACAGGAGAGGTGAGGGGCTGAGGAGGGGAGGGACTCCGTGAGCCCGGGCTGGGTGAGAGGGGGATGGTGGCCAGCATGCTGCTCACTCAGGAGGTGACAGGAGGAGGTGACAAAGCTGCTGGCATCTCTTGCTGGAGGGGGCTGGTGCCCAGCACAGTGAGGAGGTAACAAACTTGCTGGGACCTTTTGGTGGGAGGGGGCTGGTGCCCAGTGTGCTGCTCACTCAGGGGGTGACAAAGCTGCTGGCACCTCTTGGTGGGAGGGGGCTGGTGCCCAGTACCATGAGGAGGTGACAAAGCTGTTGGCACCTTTTGGTGGGAGGGGGCTGGTGCCCAGCATGGTGAGGAGGTGACAAATCTGATGGAGTCTTTTGGTGGGAGGGGGTTGGTGCCCAGCACAGCACTGGTTTGAAGGAGGTGACAAACCTGATGGGACCTTTTGGTGGGAGAGGGCTGGCACCCAAATGCAGTGTGACATGGGCTCAGGGGGTCGCAGCCCTGCTGGGACCCTGTGTGTCAGTGCTGGTGCCCAGCATGGCACTGTCTCAGGAGTGATGGCCCTGCTGGGACAGGGGTGGCAGGAGGCTGGTGCCCAGCACAGAGCTGGCTCAGGGGATCCAGCCAGGCTGGGACCTTGGTTTGAGAGGATGCTGGTGCCCAGCACAGAGCTGGCTCAGGGGATCCAGCCAGGCTGGGACCTTGGTTTGAGAGGATGCTGGTGCCCAGCACAGAGCTGGCTCAGGGGATCCAGCCAGGCTGGGACCTTGGTTTGAGAGGATGCTGGTGCCCAGCACAGAGCTGGCTCAGGGGATCCAGCCAGGCTCCCCAGGCCGTCTCTGCCCCTGCGGCACAGCTCGCTGCAGCTCCTCACCACCCTCATTACTTTCTCCACCTGCCTCTCTTCAAAGGGCCCTTCCCTGTCCCTGTCCCGGCTTTCCCCCGCCGTCCCCGGCCCCGGGGCTGGGCTGAGTCACCGGAGCAGCCCCGGGGTGGCAGCAGGACGCGGGGCCAGCCCGGTGACTCGGGCCTGGGTCACAGGGACACGGTGACTCCGTCAGCTTCTTGCTGAGATGGCAGGAGTTAATTGCAGGGCGATTAGGAGGCCAAGGGAGTCATCCCAGCCACTCCAGCTGGAGCAGCTGGGGGTGGCTGAGAGCCCTGGGGTGGGAGCTGTGCCCTGCCCACGCTGGGGACCCAGCACTGCCCCAGGGTGGCATCCAGGCTTAGAGTGAAGCCGTCCCTGCCCTGTCCCTGCCTCTGTCCTTGAGGGAGGGGCAGGGCTGGCTCACCTGGTGAGCCTGAGCAGTGTCCAGTGCCCGTGTGGCCGTGGCAGGGGGGGTGGCACAAGGCTGGTGCTGAGCCAGGCTCTCCCCACGCCCAGGGAAGACAGTGGTGCACCAGCTCTCGGTGTCGCTGGAGGATCTGTACAACGGCTCCACACGGAAGCTGTCCCTGCAGAAAAACATCATCTGCCGCAAGTGTGGAGGTGAGTGAGGGCCTGAGGGGCTGCCCCAGCACCCCCTTAGCCCAGTGTCTGACCCCCTGCCCTCCCCTGGCACAGGCTGCGGGGTGCGGGAGGGCGCCCAGAGGAGGTGCCCCAAGTGCCACGGCTCGGGCATGGAGGTTCGCATCCACCAGCTGGGGCCCAGCATGATCCAGCAGATCCAGACCGTGTGCTCCCAGTGCCAGGGCCAGGGCGAGTGGATCCGGCCCCGTGACTGCTGCCTCACCTGCAACGGCCGCAAGGTGGTGCGAGAGAAGAAAATCCTCAGCGTGCACCTGGATAAAGGTGAGCAGGGGCTGGATGGCGCAGGGGGCTCACCCCAAAGCGCCACACGGGCTCTGAGCCTCCTCCACCCTCCTCACAGGCATGAAGGACGGGCAGAAAATCACTTTCCACGAGGAAGGGGACCAGGTGCCCGGCCTGGAGCCCGGGGACATCATCATTGTCCTGGATCAGAAGGAACATCCTGTTTTCCGGCGCAGCGGTGATGACCTGATTGTCAGGAGGGAGATCAGCCTGGCAGACGCCCTGTGTGGGTGCAGGCAGGTGATCCACACCCTGGACAACCGCACCCTGCTCGTGTCCTCCCCGCCAGGTGAGGGGCACTCAGCACCTGGGAGTGGCACAGCACTACAGGGATGTGCCCCCTGTTGATGGAGTGACAAAAGTGTCCTTTGTCTCCTTAAAAAGGAAAAAAGCCCAGTTTATCTCCTCAATTAGGTGAGAAGACACCTCATAAGAGCTGTCCCCATCTCCCGGGGGCACTTTACCTCAAACTTAAGGATGGCCAATTGGACAGGAGCTAAAAAGTCCCACCTAAGCAATTTAGTAGAAAAAGAAGAGAACAAGGGAAATAATGGCTTTTGTGAGGAGTTTTTGTGTTTTACCAGGAGCAAGTGTTTTACCAGGAGCAAGAAAAACCTGGCTCGGTTTTTCTCTGTAAAGAGTTTTGTTATTTTGCCTTTCCAACACCACCACAGAAGCCATCCTGCTGATTTTATGCCTTCTAAAGTAGCTGAGTTATCCTGAGTGTGATATAAATCTCCTAAAGCTTACAAGACCTGGCTCAAAGAGACCATTATATCACACCAGGAGCTGCCAGCACAGCGGGCTCACCCTCACCTCTGTCTCTCAGGTGATGTGATCCGACCTGGGGACCTGAAGTGCATCCCCAACGAGGGGATGCCCGTCTACAGGAGCCCCTTTCAGAAAGGCAAGCTCATCCTGCAGTTCGAGGTGAGCTGGGCCAGGCTGCTGAGACTCCACATCTCCCACCCGTGGCCTCCCCGAGCTGCCTCGCTCACGTTTGCCCCTCTGCCCCTCAGGTGAAGTTCCCCGAGCCGGGCTGGCTCCCCACGGATCGCCTGCGGCAGCTGCAGGGCTTCTTCCCGCCGCAGGAGGAGGTGATGGCCACGGAGGACACGGAGGAGGTGGAGCTCAGCGATTACACGGCGCAGGGCAGGCCGGGCCGGCGGCCCTACACGGGGGAAGCCTATCACGAGGATGATTTCGAGGAGGGCATGCGGCAGCACGTGCAGTGCCAGACCTCATAGCGCGGTGGGGCCCGGGAGCAGGCGGGGCACGGGCGGGCCAGGGGAGGGGCTGCCACCTTCAGGGATGTACATAGGGCGCCTTTCCTTCGCCTTCCCAGCCCCCCCGGAGCCGGCAGAGCCCTCCTGCCCTGCCCTGGGGCTGCCCTGGGGGACAGGGCTGGGCTCCAGCTGCCGCTGCTGCAGAGGAGCAGGGGGTACCTGCTGCCCCTGCCTCAGTTTCCCCATCTGCTGTGCTGGAGGCAGTGTGGGGAGCAGGGGAAGTGCTCAGCCCCCTTCGGGGGTGCCCCAGCCCCACCCTGGGGACCTGCTGCCCGGGCCCCCAGCTCCTTGCTTTGCCCGTTTCTTTCCTTACTGGAGCCTGGCTCAGGCCTGGGATGCAGAGTGGGTGGCTCTTTTCTCTTTGCACAGGACAGGAGGGGTTGGGGGGGACCCGTCCCTTCCCTTTAATTTATTTTTGGAAGAATTTTAGAAGTTTTTCTTTTTTTTGGGTTTTTTTTTTTTGGGAGCTGAGATGGGGGGGGTGGTGACTTTGTACTTGGCATTAAACGCGAATCCCAACTCGGTGTGTGGGGTTGAACATGGGACAGAGTGTGGGGCAGGGTGTGGGGTTGAACATGGGGCAGGGTGTGGGGTTGAGTGTGGGGCAGAGTGTGGGGTTGAACATGGGACTGTGTATGGGGCAGGGTGTGGGGTTGAGCATGGGACAGGGTGTGGGGCAGGCTGTGGGGTTGAGCATGGGACAGGCTGTGGGGCAGGGTGTGGGGTTGAATGTGGGGCAGGGTGTGGGGTTGAGCAGGGAACAGAGTGTGGGGCAGGTTATGGGGTTGAGCATGGGACAATTTGTGGGGCAGGGTGTGGGGTTGAACATGGGACAGTGTATGGGGCAGGCTGTGGGACAGGGTGTGGGGTTGAACATGGGGCAGGTTATGGGGTTGAGCATGGGACAGTTTGTGGGGCAGGGTGTGGGGTTGAACATGGGACTGTATATGGGGCAGGCTGTGGGGCAGGCTGTGGGGTTGAACATGGGACTGTGTATGGGGCAGGCTGTGGGGTTGAACATGGGACCGTGTATGGGGCAGGCTGTGGGGTTGAACATGGGACTGTGTATGGGGCAGGCTGTGGGGTTGAACATGGGACCGTGTATGGGGCAGGGTCTGGGGTTGAACATGGGACTGTGTATGGGGCAGGCTGTGGGGCAGGCTGTGGGGTTGAACATGGGACTGTGTATGGGGCAGGGTGTGGGGCAGGCTGTGGGGTTGAGCGTGGGGCAGCAGGAGCCCCGGGGCAGTGACTCTGCCCTGCTTTGATCTCGGGTGTGCCTCAGTTTCCCCGTCCTTACCCAACCGGGCGGTGCCGCTCCTGCCCTGCCCTCCCCTGCCCGCGGCTGCTCCCGGCTCCTCCCGCTCCAGCCGGGAGCCCCCGGAGCCCAGGCCTGGCTCGGGACGGGTCTGTCCCACTTCCCTTCCCCCTCTGCCAGCCCTGCAGCCCCCCCGTCCCCCTCCTCTTCTCCCCTGCCTGGAGACACAGCCTTGACCCCGTGGGTACCCCCAGTTCCTCTCCCTGTCCTGGTCACTTCCAGAACCCCCCCTCTGCATCATCTCAGCATCTCTGGAGACCCCAAACAGAGGCAGACCCCCCCCAAATACCTTCAGCCCTGCACTCACCCCATGGGAGATTCCACGGCACAGAGCTGGGTTACTGAGCTGATAAGGGGGACCCCCCCCCAAAAATACCCTTTAGGGGGGCAAATGCATCCCAGAACCTTGTCCCTCTGCTCTTCTTCCCTGTCTGGACACAGCCTTGACCCTGTGGGTACCCCCAGTTCCTCTCCCTGTCCTTGTCACTTCCAGAACCCCCCCCTCTGCATCATCTCAGCATCCCTGGAGACCCCAAATAGAGGCAGACCTCCCCCAAATACCTTCAGCCCTGCACTCACCCCATGGGAGATTCCACAGCACAGAGCTGGGTTACTGAGCTGTTAATGGGGACCCCCCAAAAATACCCTTTAGGGGGGCAGCTGCATCCCAGAACCCCCCTGCCCCCTCCACAGTGGGATGGGGGTGGAGCCCCCCAGGCCGGGGGGGCTTTGTGGGGTTGGGGTTGGAGCTCCCTCCCTCCCTCCCCTGGAACCCAGGAAAGCTCCGGCGCCAGCTGCAGCTGCAGGGGGAGAGGAGGAGGAGGAGGAGGAGGAGGAGGCGAGGAGAACAATGCTGGCCGGCTGCCAGCCGAGGGAGGGGAGTGGGGGAGAAGGGGGGAAGCTCCTGCCCAGCCCCCGGCCCAGCGGGCACAGGGGGGGCTGAGGGCGGACGGTGACAGTCCCTGTCCCCCAGGGCTCACTGAGCAGTGACAGTGACAGTCCCTGTGCCCCAGGGCTCACCCGGCGGTGACAGTGACAGTCCCTGTCCCCCCTGTCCCCGGGGCTCACCCGGCAGTGACAGTGACAGTCCCTGTCCCCCCTGTCCCCAGGGCTCACCCAGCAGTGACAGTGACAGTCCCTGTCCCTCTGTCCCCCAGGGCTCACTGGGCAGTGACAGTGACAGTTCCTGTCCCCCCTGTCCCCTGGGGCTCACTGGGCGGTGACAGCGACAGTCCCTGTGCCCCCTGTCCCCGGGGCTCACCCGGCAGTGACAGTGACAGTCCCTGTCCCCCCTGTCCCCCGGGGCTCACTGGGCAGTGACAGTGACAGTCCCTGTCCCCTCTGTCCCCCAGGGCTCACTGGGCAGTGACAGTGACAGTCCCTGTCCCCCAGGGCTCACTGAGCAGTGACAGCGACAGTCCCTGTGCCCCAGGGCTCACTACGCAGTGACAGTGACAGTCCCTGTGCCCCCTGTCCCCCAGGGCTCACCCGGCGGTGACAGTGACAGTCCCTGTCCCCCCTGTCCCCCGGGGCTCACTGAGCAGTGACAGTGACAGTCCCTGTCCCCCCTGTCCCCCGGGGCTCAGCGGGCAGTGACAGTGACAGTCCCTGTCCCCCGGGGCTCACCTGGCAGTGACAGTGACAGTCCCTGTCCCCCAGGGCTCACTGTGCAGTGACAGTGACAGTCCCTGTCCCCCTGTCCCCCAGGGCTCACTGGGCAGTGACGGTGACAGTCCCTGTCCCCCAGGGCTCACTGGGCAGTGACAGTGACAGTCCCTGTCCCCCCTGTCCCCCAGGGCTCACTGGGCAGTGACAGTGACAGTCCTGTCCCCAGCACGCCTCGCTGAGCCACCCAGGCAGCAGTGTCCCTGCTGCTCTGAGCCATGGGGACACTCCCGGGGGGGGGACACGGTGGCACCCCCGAGAGCAGGGGGGGCACAGGGACCCTGTGCCGTGTGCCAGAACCCCCCTGGGCTCGTGGCACCGTGGCTGAGTGGTGCCCCAGCCGTGCCAGGCACCGAGCAGGGTCCCCAGGTTTGTCACACACCCAGGGACCCCCGTGCAGCTGGCACCTCTCTGTCCCCAACTTCTCGGTCACTCAGGACATTTTGGGGTGGGGGACGCCAAGCAGCCGGCCTGGACCCTCCAGGGTGGGCACTGAGCTGGGCAGCAGCCGGCCTGGGGACTGTGGGGGTGACAGGGGGGTGACAGGGGGGTGACCCCAGCCCTTGGGGGGCACAGCCTGGCTGGGGTCATGCTGGATGTGTGTCTGGGGGGGGGTGTTCCTCCAGCTCAGCCTCCCTCCTCTACCTCATCCCCAGCATCACCGGGGCTGGGTGACCCCCCAAGCCTGTCCTGTCCCCCTGTGCCCTGCAGGGACACCCCTGTCCTGTCCCCTACAGGGACATCCCTGTCCTGTGCCCTACAGGGACACACACCCCTGTCCTGTCCCTGTCCCCTACAGGGACACCCCTGTCCTGTCCCCCTGTCCCCTTTAGGAACATCCCTGTCCCCCCTGTCCCCTGCAGGTCCTGTCCCCTTTAGGGACTCCCCTGTCCTGTCCCCCTCTCCCCTTTAGGGACACCCCTGTCCTGTCCCCTTTAGGGACACCCCTATCCTGTCCCCCTGTCCCCTGCAGGGACAGCCCTGTCCTGTCCCCCTGTCCCCTTTAGGGACTCCCCTTGTCCTGTCCCACTCTCCCCTTTAGGGACTCCCCTGTCCTGTCCCCCTCTCCCCTTTAGGGACACCCCTGTCCTGTCCCCTTTAGGGACACCCCTATCCTGTCCCCCTGTCCCCTGCAGGGACAGCCCTGTCCTGTCCCCCTGTTCCCTTTAGGGACTCCCCTGTCCTGTCCCCCTGCTGTCCCCTTTAGGGACACCCCTGTCCTGTCCCCCTGTCCCCTTTAGGGACACCCCTGTCCTGTCCCCTTTAGGGACACCCCTGTCCTGTCCCCCTCTCCCCTTTAGGGACACCCCTGTCCCTCTGTCCCCTTTAGGAACATCCCTGTCCCCTACAGGGACACCCCTGTCCTGTCCCCCTGTCCCCTTTAGGAACATCCCTGTCCCTCTGTCCCCTGCAGGGACATCCCAGCGACCCCCGCTGGATTCAGGCAGACCAAAGCCCCCTCCCCGTTCCCTCCCGGCACGGAGCAGGGAGGGAGGGGGATGAGAGCGACGCTGTTCCCCCACACCCAGCCCAACCTCAGCTTCCAGAAAAATGCACGGAAAAATTCCGGGGTGAGGGGCCAGGGCCCCCCAGGGTCGCGCATTCATTGCCCGCTTTGTCTGCGCAGATGAAAGGCGAGGGGCCAGCCCGGCCCCCTCCCCAGCCCGGGGGGGCAGCGGGGTCACCGGGCGGGATTAGTGCCGGATTAGAGGCGCCGGGGACCGCGACACCACCCAGGCGGAGCCGCGGGAGGGGGGCACAGCTCCCCGGAGCCGTTTTGGGGTCACTCACGGCCCCTCCGCCCCAGCCCCCTCCCCAGCTCCAGGAATTCGCTTTTGTTCCGAGAGCCGCCGAGCTGCGGGGAGGGGGCGCCTCCCTTGGCTGCCCCTCCGGAGCCCCCCGGAGCAGCTGAACGGGACCCCCGGGGCTGCTGTGGGGGGAGCGCAGGCAGCCCCAGCCCCCAGCCCCCCCCATTTGTCGGAGCCCCCCCAGGATCCCCCGCAGGCCGAGGCGAAGCGGAGCCGTCCCCAGGGCTCCCGGGGAAAGCGGAGATTCCTCCGGCGGGGCGGGGGCACGGCTGGATTCCATTACCGGCGGCTCCCGGGGGTCTCCGGGGGTGAAGTGGGGAGGGGGCCAGGACCCTCGGCAGGGGCGGGACACGGCCCTGGCAGCGCTCTGGGAACCGCGCCAGGGCTGATGGGCGCCTGCCAAGTGTCCACCTGGAGATACCGGAGCCTTCCTCCCCCCCCTCCTCCTCCTCCTCCCCAGGGAAGGTGTAATTCCACCCTTGCTGCTCCTGGACGAGCTCCCGGGGTGCGGGATCACAGCCCGGCCGTGGGGGTGAAGCCAACACCGAGCCCTGGCTCCCTTCTCCATCCCCCCCCATCAGCGCTCGATGGGGCGGCGGTGCCCCCCAACTGCCCCACGGCCGCTCGGGTGGGGGGCACTGCCCCCGAGGGGCCCGGCCCGGTCTGGGGGAGCCGAGCTGGGCAGCGAACGGGGGGGCAGCAGCAGCAGCACCCCCAAAGCTCGAGGCAGGGCAGTCCTGCACCCCGATCCCCCCCGAACCTCCATCCTCCCTGAACCCCGATCCCCCTTGCACCCCGATCCCCCCTGAACCTCGATCCTCCCTGAACCCCGACCCTCCCTGAACCCCGATCCCCCCTGAACCTCGATCCTCCCTGAACCCCGACCCTCCCTGAATCCCAAACCTCCCCGCACCCCGATCCCCCTGCACCCCGATCCCCCTGAACCCCGATCCTCCCTGAATCCCAAACCTTCCTGAACCCCGACCCTCCCTGCACCCCGATCCCCCCTCAACCCCGATCCCCCCTGAACCTCGATCCTCCCTGAACCCCGACCCTCCCTGAATCCCAAACCTCCCTGAGTCCCAAACCTCCCTGCACCCCGATCCCCCTGAACCCCGATCCCCCTTGAACCCCGATCCCCCTGAACCCCTATCCCCCCTGAATCCCAAACCTCCCTGCACCCCGATCCCCCCTGAACCCCGATCCCCCCTGAATCCCGACCCTTTCCTGCACCCCGACCCTTCCTGCACCTCCCTGAACCCCGACCCTCTCTGCACCCGAACCCTCCCTGCACCCCGATCTCCCTGAATCCCGATCCTTCCTGAACCCCGACCCTCCCTACACCCGAATCCCCCCTGCACCCAGACCCTCCCTGCACCTTCCTGCACCCGATCCTCCCTGAATCCCGACCCTCCCCGCACCCTGATCCTCCCTGCACCCCGAACCTTTCCTGCACCCCGATCCTCCCCGCACCCCGACCCTTTCCTGCACCCCCCCCCAGCTCAGCCCCGGTGTCCTGGGCTAATTAACGCCATCCCATGCAGAGCAATTATCGGCCAGCCCATCATTAACAAACCCACAGAACAAACCCACAGAACAAACCCAGGGGTGCCCCCGGCTCCCCCGCCCCAGCCCGGATGGGGTCTCATGTTGAGAGCTGGGGCAGAGCCCGAAGTCCCCGCTGCCCTCCCTGCCCCACAGTCACCCCATGGTCACCCCACAATCACCCCAGGGTCACCCCACGGTCACCTCGGAGCCAGCACCCGTTTCCCATGCAGGATGCGCCAACCCCGCTGCCGCCCTCGCCCCCGGCCCCTTGCGCAACGGCCCCACAGGGGATGTGGGGGGGCAGGAGCCGGGTGTGGGATTTGAGGTGCAGAATCCAGGGTGTGGGATCTGGAATGTGGGATCTGCAGTGTAAGATTTGGGATGTGCGATTTGGGGTGTAGGATCCAGGGTGTGGGATCTGGAGTGTGAGATCTGGGGGGTGGGATTTGGGGTGCAGAATCCGGGTTGAAAGATCTGGGGTGTGGTACCCTGTGTGTGGAAATCTGGGGTGTGGAATCTGGAGTGTGGGATTTGGGGTGCAGAATCCAAGATGTGGGATTCAGACTGCAGGATTTGGGGTGCAGAATCCTGGGTGTGGGATCTGGAGTGCAGAATTTGGGGTGCAGAATCCGGGTTGAAAGATCCGGGGTGTGGTATCCGGTGTGTGGGATTTGGAGTGAGGAAATCTGGGGTGCACAATCCTGGGTGTGGGATCTGGAGTGTAGGATTTGGGGTGCAGAATCCGAGTTGAAAGATCTGGGGTGTGGTATCCTGTGTGTGGAAATCTGGGGTGTGGAATCTGGAGTGTAGGATTTAGACTGTAGGATCTGGGGTGCAGAATCTGACATGTGGAATCCAGGGTGTGGAATCTGGAGTGTGGGATTTGGGGTGCAGAATCTGAGGTGTGGGATTCAGACTGTGTGGGATTTGGGGTGCAGGATGCAGGCTGTGGGACTCAGACTGGGTGGGATTTGGGGTGCAGGATGCAGGCTGTAGGATTCAGACTGGGTGGGATTTGGGGTGCAGGCTGTGGGACTCAGACTGGGTGGGATTTGGGGTGCAGAATCTGAGGTGTGGGATTCAGACTGGGTGGGATTTGGGATGCAGGATGCAGGCTGTGGGATCCAGACTGGGTGGGATTTGGGGTGCAGGATGCAGGCTGTGGGATTCAGACTGTGTGGGATTTGGGGTGCAGGATGCAGGCTATGGGACTCAGACTGTGTGGGATTTGGGGTGCAGAATGCAGGCTATGGGACTCAGACTGGGTGGGATTTGGGGTGCAGGATGCAGGCTGTGGGACTCAGACTGGGTGGGATTTGGGGTGCAGGATGCAGGCTGTGGGATTCAGACTGGGTGGGATTTGGGGTGCAGGATGCAGGCTGTGGGATCCAGACTGGGTGGGATTTGGGGTGCAGGATGCAGGCTGTGGGATCCAGACTGGGTGGGATTTGGGGTACAGGATGCAGGCTGTGGGACTCAGACTGGGTGGGATTTGGGGTGCAGGATGCAGGCTGTGGGATCCAGACTGGGTGGGATTTGGGGTGCAGGATGCAGGCTGTGGGATTCAGCCTGGGTGGGATTTGGGGTGCAGGATGCAGGCTGTGGGACTCAGACTGGGTGGGATTAGGGGTGCAGAATCTGAGGTGTGGGACTCAGACTGGGTGGGATTTGGGGTGCAGGATGCGGGATCCAGACTGGGTGGGATTTGGGATGCAGGATGCAGGCTGTGGGACTCAGACTGGGTGGGATTTGGGGTGCAGAATCCGAGGTGTGGGATTCAGACTGGGTGGGATTTGGGGTGCAGGCTGTGGGATCTGGGGTGCAGATCTAGGGTGCAGAATCTGCGATGTGGATCCAGAGCCCCAGGCTGTGGGATCTGTGTGTGCCAGTGGGGCCAGGACGAGAGTCAGGGATACCCGGGGGGGGGTCACAGGACATTTATTGAAAAAGGGGGGAGGCAACAGAGGGAAGCTGGACCCTGGGGGGGGGGGGGGGGCTAGGACCTGGCACTGCCCCAACCTGGGGGGGTTTGGTGTCCCCACCTGTGCCATATTCACAAATAAATACCGGGGAGAGGTCGCGGGGCAGGGCTGGGGGCTGCGGGAACCAAGAGCAGCCCCGAAGCCAAACCAGCTCAAAGCAGCCCAAAAGGGCAGGGAGGGGCCGCGTTCCCCCCCGCCGCAGCCGGCACCGAGCCAGGAGCGGGGCCAGGACAGGACGGGAGATTCTGCTGCCCTCGGAGAGCCCCGCCCTGCAGGGGGAGGGAAATCCCCCCCAAAAAAAGGGGGTTCGGGGATGCAACACCCGCCCTGTGACAGGGGGAGGAGTGCAGGGGACTGAGGGGACACGGGGAGGGGAGGGGGGACATGGGGAGGGGTCGGCTGAGCGGGGAGGGGGGGGTCACTCCCGAATGTACACCCGGGTGCACACAACGTCATCGGCGGTCATGGTCTGCAGGGAGAGGCGGGGTCGGTCACAGGTGCGGCTGTGCCCCCTCCTGTCCCATCCTGTCCCCATCTGCCCCCTCCTGTCCCATCCTGTCCCCATCTGCCCCCTCCTGTCCCCATCTGGCCCCTCTTGTCCCCATCCCAGCCCCTCCTGCCCCTCCTGTCCCATCTCCCCACTCCTGTCCCCATCCCAGCACGTTCCAGTCCCATTCCCCCTCTCCTGTGTCCCCATTCCCCCTCTCCTGTCCCCATCCATCCCTTCCTGTCCCATCTGCCCCTTCCTGTCCCCATTCGCCCCCCCATCCCCATCCACCCCCTCCTGTCCCCATCCCAGCCCCTCCTGCCCCACTCCCAGTGTGCTCCTGTCCCTTTCCCCCCCTCCTGTCCCCATCTGCCCCCTCTTGTCCCCATCCCAGCCCCTCCTGCCCCCTCCTGTCCCATCTCCCCACTCCTGTCCCCATCCCAGCACGTTCCAGTCCCATTCCCCCTCTCCTGTGTCCCCATTCCCCCTCTCCTGTGTCCCCATTCCCCCTCTCCTGTCCCATTCCCCCTCTCCTGTGTCCCCATTCTCCCTCTCCTGTCCCATTTCCCCCCTCCTGTCCCATCTGCCCCTTCCTGTCCCCATTCGCGCCCCCCCCATCCCCATCCACCCCCTCTTGTCCCCATCCCAGCCCCTCCTGCCCCTCATGTCCCCATCTGCCCCCTCCTGTCCCATCTCCCCACTCCTGTCCCCATCCCAGCACGTTCCAGTCCCATTCCCCCTCTCCTGTGTCCCCATTCCCCCTCTCCTGTCCCATTTCCCCCCTCCTGTCCCATTCTCCCTCTCCTGTCCCATCTGCCCCTTCCTGTCCCCATTTGCCCCCCCCATCCCCATCCACCCCCTCCTGTCCCCATCCCAGCCCCTCCTGCCCCACTCCCAGTGCGCTCCTGTCCCATTCCTCCCCTCCCATCCCCATTCCCCCTCTCCTGTCCCCATTCTCCCCCTCCTGTCCCCATCCCAGCTCCGAGGGAGTTCCCAGTGGGCAGCGCTGCCCCCAAGCCCCTGCTGGCCCCGGTTGGTCCCAGTTGGCCCCGGTTGGCCCCAGTTTGCCCCTGCTGGCCCTGGTTGGCCCCAGTTTGCCCCGGTTGGTCCCAGTTGGCCCCAGTTTGCCCCTGCTGGCCCCGGTTGGTCCCGGTTGGTCCCGGTTGGTCCCAGTTGGCCCCGGTTGGTCCCTGCTGGCCCCGGTTGGCCCCAGTTGGCCCCAGTTTGCCCCTGCTGGCCCCGGTTGGTCCCAGTTGGCCCCTGCTGGCCCCAGTTGGTCCCGGTTGGTCCCGGTTGGTCCCAGTTTGCCCCTGCTGGCCCCGGTTGGTCCCAGTTGGCCCCTGCTGGCCCCGGTTGGTCCCAGTTGGCCCCGGTTGGTCCCAGCTGGCCCCGGTTGGTCCCAGTTGGCCCCAGTTTGCCCCGGTTGGTCCCGGTTGGTCCCAGTTTGCCCCTGCTGGCCCTGGTTGGTCCCAGTTGGCCCCTGCTGGCCCCGGTTCCCCGTTGTTCCCCTCACCAGGATGAGCTCCCCGTCGTTGCTCATCTCCCGGGACCAGCCCGTCCTGGGCCCGTCTCCCTTGAGCAGGCGCTGCTCGCAAACCATCTTGTTCTTGTTCTCCCCCTCCCACCGGGCCAGGCTCTGCGGGCACAGGGGGCAGCGCTGGGGGGGGGCTGCTGGGGGCACCCCCGGGCACCTCCTGCCCTCCCTGGGGCAGCTGCCACCAGCCCCGGGGGCAGAAGGGACCCTTTGTTCCTGTGCCAGGGGGTGCGGGGGCACCAGGGGGGCACAAACGGGGGCTGGGGGCACGAGGAGGGGTTGGGGGTACAGGGAAGGGGTTGGGGGCACAGGGAGATGTTGAGGGGCACAATGAGGGGATGTGGACACAGGGAAGGGGTTGGGGGGCACAATGAGGGGTTGGGGGCACAGGGAAGGGGTTGGGGGGCACAATGAGGGGTTGGGGGCACAGGGAAGGGTTGGGGGGCACAATGAGGGGATGGGGGCACAGGGAAGGGGTTGGGGGGCACAATGAGGGGTTGGGGGCACAGGGAAGGGGTTGGGGGGCACACAGGGGGATGGGGGCACAATGGGGGGCACAGGGAAGGGGTTGAGGGGCACAGGGAAGGGATTGAGTAGCACAACAAGGGGATGGGGACACAGGGAAGGGGTTGGGGGGCACAATGAAGGTGTGATGGCATAGGGAGGGGGTTGATGGCACAAGGAAGGGGTTGAGGGGCACGGGGAGAGGTTGAGGGGCACAGGGAAGGGTTGGGGGGCACAACAAGGGGATGATGGCACAGGGAACAGATGGATGGCACAGGAAAGGGGCTGGGGGCACTGGAAGGGATTGGGGGGTACAATGAGGGGTTGGGGGCACAGGGACGGGATTGGGGGACCTGGGGAAGGGATGGGGGTGCAGGAGGGGATGAGGAGCTCAGGAAAGGCCTGGGGGGCACAAGGAGAGGTTGGGGTGCAGGAGGAGGGGAAGCAGCTGCGGGGAGAGGTGGCTGTGTGCACAGACAGACAGACAGACACCACAGACACACACACACACAGACAGACAGACACACACGTGAGAGCTCCTGGCCTCGTGCCAAACGTGTGTGCAAGATCACTGTGTGCACAGACATCCCTGCACACACCCAGCAGAGCTGGGTGTGCACACCTGTGTGCACTGCAGTGATGGGTGTGCACACCTGTGATGTCACACGATCATACACACACACACAGGCACACCCACACCCACATGCACAGTCACACACAGTCACACACAGTCACACACAGTCACACACAGTCACACTGACACGCACACATGCACAGAAACACCCTCACGCACACAGACACACACACACAGGCACACACAGACACAGTTACACCCACACACACACTCACACACTCATACCCACACACACTCACAGTCACACACTCATACCCACACACATACACAATCACACCCATACTCACACACAGTCTCACACTCACAGTCACACAGTTACACTCACACATTCACACACAGTGACACTCTCACACTCTCATACTCACACACGAAGTCACACCCGCACACTCACACTCAGTCTCACACACTCACACTGACACATACAGTGTCACACTCACTCACACCCTTACTCACACACACCCACACTCACACACCCACACTCACACCCTTACTCACAGTCACACTTTCACATTCTCACACTCACACACTCTCACATTCACACTCACTCACATTCATACACTCACACAGACACACTCTCACTCACACACACATTCACACACTCATACACACTCTCACCCACTCACACCCTTACTCACACTCACAGTCTCACACCCTCACAGTCTCACACACACACTCACAGTCTCACACTCTCACACCCTTACTCACCCACTCACACCCACTCTCACACTCACACACCCACACTCACTCTCACACTCACTCAGTCTCACTCTCACACTCTCACACCCACATCCACTCTCACACTCTCTCACACTCATTCACAGTCACTCTCACACTCCCACTCTCACATTCATACTCACTCTCATGCTCTCTCACACTCACATTCACACTCACTCTCACTCTCTCACACCCACTCTCATACACTCATTCTCACACATTCACTCTCACATTCACACTCACTCTCACTCTCACACACTCTCACACTCACTCTCTCACACTCACTCTCACTCTCTCACACCCACTCTCATACACTCATTCTCACATATTCACTCTCACATTCACACTCACTCTCACTCTCTCACACTCACTCTCACTCTCTCACACTCACTCTCACTCTCTCACACCCACTCTCATACACTCATTCTCACACATTCACTCTCACATTCACACTCACTCTCACTCTCACATTCACACTCACTCTCACTCTCTCACACCCACTCTCATACACTCATTCTCACACATTCACTCTCACATTCACACTCACTCTCACTCTCTCACGCTCACTCTCACACTCACACCCCCTCTCCCCCTGTCCCCTCTCGTGCCCCCGTGCTGGTCCCACCTTGCAGGGCCGCCCATCCACCGTCTGCTCCTCGAACTCCTCTCCGACCCTGAACTGGATCTCCGTGGTGCGCACGGGGGTGGAGGTGCGGATGTAGAAGCTCTCCCCGTCCCCGTCCTGCCGGATCTCCACCGCCGGCTTGGCCGCCGCCGCCACCGCGATCTTCCTCAGCATCACGTTCACCGCCTGGAGGGGGCACGGTGCCACCGAGTGTGCCCAGTGACCCAGGGGGCACGGTGCCACCGAGTGCGCCCATGCCCGGTGATCGGGGGGCGAAACGGTGCCACCGAGTGTGCCCAGTGACCGAGGGGGTGGCACCGAGCATGCCCAGTGACCAAGGGAACACGGTGCCACCGAGCGTGCCCGGTGACCCAGGGGACACGGTGCCATTGAGTGTGCCCGGTGACCGAGGGGTCGCAGTGGTGCTCGGTGACTGAGGGGACACGGTGCCATCGAGCGTGCCAGGTGACTGAGGGGACATGGTGGCACCAAGTGTGCCCGGTGACCAGGGATGGGGGGGTGAGGTGGTGCCCGGTGACCAGGGGCAGACACGGTGCCACCAAGCGTGCCCGGTGACCAGGGGGTCACGGTGGTGCCCAGTGACCCAGGGGAGGGGGGCACGGTGCCACCGAGCGTGCCTGGTGACCCACGGGGTGGCATCGAGTGTGCCCAGTGACCCGGGGGGGAAATGGTGGCACCAAGCGTGCCCGGTGACCGGGGGGTCACGGTGGTGCCCAGTGACCCAGGGGAGGGGGGCACGGTGCCACCGAGTGTGCCCAGTGACCCAGGGGGTGCCACCGATTGTGCCTGGTGACCCGGGGGGGGCACAGTGGCATTGAGTGTGCCCAGTGACCAGGGGGGAAACAGTGGCACCGAGTGTGCCTGGTGACCCAGGGGGTGGCACCAAGTGTGCCCAGTGACCAGGGGGAAACAGTGGCACCAAGTGTGCCTGGTGACCTGGGTGAGGGCACGGTGGTGCCCAGTGACCTGAGGGGGGCACAGTGATGCCCAGTGACCCAGGGGGACACGGTGATGCCCGGTGACCCACGGGGTGGCACCAAGTGTGCCTGGTGACCTGGATGGGGCACGGTGGTGCCCAGTGACCCAGGGGGACACAGTGGTGTCCGGTGACCCAGATGGTGCCCGGTGACCCAGATGGGGACACAGTGGTGCCCAGTGACCTGGGTGGGGCACAGTGATGCCCAGTGACCCAGGGGGACACGGTGATGCCCGGTGACCCACGGGGTGGCACCAAGTGTGCCTGGTGACCTGGATGGGGCACGGTGGTGCCCAGTGACCCAGGGGGACACAGTGGTGCCCGGTGACCCAGATGGTGCCCGGTGACCTGGATGGGGACACGGTGGTGCCCGGTGACCCGGATGAGGACATGGTGATGCCCGGTGATCCGGGTGGTGCCGGTGACTGGGGCTCAGCCCCGCACTCGGCGGTGCCACACCCAGGGCACAGCGAGGGCCGCAGGTGGCTCCAGGCAGCCCAAGGAGGGGGGAGGGTGGGGGAGGACGGGCGATCCCCCCCGGGCCACATCTGGCCACATCTGGCTCTCGTTACCTGCGGAGGGGGCGGCGGCGGCGCCGGATGCGCCCCGGGGAAGGGCCGGGCCGGGCCGGGGGTGACAGCGGGGACAAGGGCCCCGCTGCCAGCGCTGTGCTCCGTGACCTGTGTGACCCCCCCGGGGCTCCCGCGTCCCCCCCTCGGCAGCTGCGGCTTTGTCCCCGCTCCAGAGGCGGCTCATCCATCACGGCCCGCGGCTGTCACGGGGGGGCTCTTTGGGGACATTGTTCCCGTGTCACCCTCACTGTGGGGACGGGACTGAGCCCCCCACCCCATCCCCCGAGAGGGCACAAAGGGGGAGCCCCCCTAGAGCAAGGGTGGGAACACGGAGGGGCTGCGGGAGCTGGGACCCCCCCCCCCAGCATGGGAAGGGACAAATCCCTCAGGGGACCCCTCCAAGCCCCCCAGCAACACCCCCAGGCCTGGTTCACACTTGGGGGGTGCCCCAGACCCCGGACACGGCCCCCCACATGATGCTGGTGGGGGTGGGGAGCACAAACAGCCCCCAAAGGGAGCGAAACCAAGGCTGGGGGGGGGCGGGTGGGGTCAGTCGGGGGGGCTGGAGCTGAGGAAACCCCCGACCCCCGCAGGGGGAACTGTAACCCCCAAATCTGCCTGTAACCCCCAAATCTGTGTGCACCCCCCCAAATCTGCCTGTAACCCCCCCCAAATCTGTCTGTACCCCCATAATCTGCCTGTACCCCCCCCCAAATCTGCCTGTAACCCCCAAATCTGCCTGAACCCCCCCCAAATCTGCCTGTAACCCCCCCCAAATCTGCCTGTAACCCCCCAAATCTATCTGTACCCCCCCCAATCTGTCTGTACCCCCCCAGATCTGCCTGTAACCCTCAAATCTGCCTCTGCCTCCCAAATCTGCCTCTACCCCCCCCAAATCTGCCTGCACCCCCCCCAAATCTGCCTCTACCGCCCCAAATCTGTCTGTACCCCCCTCAAATCTGTCTGTACCCCCCTCAAATCTGTCTGTACCCCCCCAAATCTGCCTTTACCCCCCCAAATCTGCCTCTACCGCCCCAAATCTGCCTGTACCCCCCCTCAAATCTGCCTTTACCCCCCCAAATCTGCCTCTACCCCCCCAAATCTGCCCGCACCCCGCAGGGAGCAGTCGGGGGGGGAGCCCCCACCCACTCGCGCCGTGGGAAAGGAGGAAGGCTCGGGGAGGGGAGGGGAGGGGGGGGTCAGATTTATTTTCCTGCTGAGGTTTCCCCGAGCCGGGTTCCATCAGCGGGGCCAGGGCGGGGAGAAGGGGAGAGCCGGGGGACCGGGAGTGAAACCCAAGAAAGTGATAATTATCCTGAAATATTCGTTACGTATCCCCTAACCTGGAAAATATTCTGCTCGGGCTGGCGAGGAGCGGGTCAGGAGGAGGGGAGCAGTGCGGGAGTTGGATTTGATCCTGCCCAAAGCCCCGGGGACCCCCCCAGGCCCGAGCCCCCACCGTGAGTCCGGGCCCTCCCCACCCCCGCTCAGCGCGGCCCCGGCTCTGCCATGGGGGGCAAAGGGGCCCGAGATGAGGCTGGGGAGAGCGGGACCCCAAAACCCCCACAAAATCCCCCCCAAACGGCTCCTGCCCGGGCTGGTTTGGGGGACAGCGGCTGTCCCAAAACCGGGGAGGGACAGGTGAGGGGTGGCGGAGGGACCGGGGTGGTGCTTGGGGGAGCACCAGGGTGGGGAAACTGAGGCAGGAAAGGGGGGGGATCCCTCGGGAGCGGCACACGCTGCCCGGCCCCGTCGTGCCTGCGGCTCCTCAGCGGGCACCGAGCGCCAGAGCCTGGCGAAAAGGGGGAGCAGAGGGATCCCCGCGGCACACGGCGGCTCCGGGCACCGCGGGCTGCAAGAGGATTTGGGGGCAGATGTGGGGAACCCCCCTCCGGCCCCCCAAGCTCGAGGGAGCCCCGGAGAACGGGGATCCACTCACCCAGCGCCTTCAGCAGCTCCTCGAAGTTCTCCGAGCTCTTCATCTTCCAGTTCCCGGAGAAGTTGGGCATCGCGGCTGCCGGCCCGGGGGGCTCAGGGAGGGCACCGAGGGGGGGGAATCAGCGCTTCGAGGGCTCCGCCGCTCCCTCGGCACCGGCACCGGCCCCGCCGCTGGCTCCCTGCGTCCGTCTGTCCGTCCGTCCCGTCCCGCCCGCGCCGCCGCCGTTTTTATCGCCGGGCTGGTCCCACCCCCCGGCCCCGGCCCCGGCCCGGGGGCTCCGCGCTCACCTGCGGAGCGAGAGCCCAGGCCGAGCCCCCCGCCCCCGTTTGCCGTGGGGAGCTCTGCCCGTGCCCCCCAAAATCCCCCCGAGATCCGTGCCCTGCTCGGCTCCCCCGGCTGCGGCATCTCCCTGGGTCCCCCTGATCGCCAGCGTCCCCCCGAAACTGCCCGCACCTCACACGTGCTGCACCCCAAATCTGCCTGTAACCCCCCAGATCGGTCTGTAACCCCCAAATCTGTCTGTGTCCCCCCCAAATCTGCCTGTACCTGCCCCAAATCTGCCTGTAACCCCCCCAAATCTGCCTGTAACCCCTAAATCTGCCTCTACCCCCCCCAAATCTGCCTGTACCCCCCCAAATCTGTCTGTACCTGCCCCAAATCTGCCTGTAACCCCTAAATCTGCCTCTACCCCCCCCAAATCTGCCGGTAATCTCTAAATCTGTCTATATCCCCCCGCAAATCTGCCTGTCCCCCCCAAATCGGTCTGTATCCCCCCCAAATCTGCCTCTACCCCCCATATCTGCCTGTACCTCCCCCAAATCGGTCTGTAACCCCTAAATCTGCCTCTACCCCCCCCAAATCTGTCTGTATCCCCCCCAAATCTGCCTCTACCCCCCAAAATCTGTCTGCACCTCCCCCAAATCCGCCTCTACCCCCCCCCAAATCTGTCTGTAATCCCCCCAAATCTGCCTCTACCCCCCCCAAATCTGTCTGTGTCCCCCCCAAATCTGCCCATACCCCCCCCAAATCTGCCTCTACCTCCCCCAAATCTGTCTGTAACCCCCTCTAATCTGCCTGTACCCCTAAATCTGCCTCTACCCCCCAAATCTGCCTTTACCCCCCCCAAAATCTGCCTCTACCCCCCCAAATCTGCCTCTACCTCCCCCAAATCTGTCTGTAACCCCCTCTAATCTGCCTGTACCCTCCCAAATCTGCCCATACCCCCCCAAATCTGCCTCTACCTCCCCCAAATCTGTCTGTAACCCCCTCTAATCTGCCTGTACCCTCCCAAATCTGCCTCTACCCCCCCCAAATCTTCCTCTACCCCCCCAAATCTGCCCGTACCCCCCAAATCTCGCTGCCCCCCCCCCCGAGTGTGCACAGGGCACGCGTGTTTGCCCAGGTGTGTGATGCTGGCACGGGCACGGGTGGGTGCCTGTGCTTCACTTGTGCACACGTGGATTTGATCCTCGACTTTCCCAGCCTCACCATCACACACAAACTCCCACAAAAACTCGCACAAAAATTCACGCACGAACTCACTACAAACTCCCACCCGTGTCTGCGCACACCAGGGGCAGGTGGAACCCCCTCTGCCAGCCGGGTAAGGAGCTCCGAGGGATTTCCCGAGCTTTCCCAGCCCTGGGAACCGCCGCGGGAAGGGCAGGTTGTGCCGCGGGGCCGGTTCTGGGCAAGAAAAGCAAGAAATGGCGTTTCTGGTTCAGCAGGAGCTCCGGAATGGAAGGAGAGAGGAATCTTCTCTGATTTGGGGTGAAAAGGCCTCGCAGAGCCCCCCGTGGCCCCTCTGCTCCTGGTGACATCCCCCCAGTGCCCCCAGAAGCTCCGGTTTGGGCCAAGTCCCGGCTTGCCGCATCCCTAATCCCCTGAAGAACAGGATTTCTCAGCGGGCTCTGACACAACCTCACCTACAGCAGCGCCGGGGCCGCGCCACGGGGCACGGGGACAGCCACAGGGACAGGCAGGGCTCGGGGAGGGGGTGCTGGGGAGGGCTCACCCCGAAACCTGCATCCCAGAGATGCAGGAGATGCCTCCCCCCATGCGGAGTCGCTTGGGTTTGCTTGAAATTTGGGGGAAATGAGGGGGAAAAATCATCTTTATTCCAGGGGGGAGGGGGGAAAATCATCTCCATTCCAGGGGGAAAAATCATCTCCGTTTCAGGAGAGGGGAAAAAATCATCTCTATCCTGGAGGGGGAAAAATCATTTCCATTCCAGGGGGGAAGGGGGAAAAATCATCTCCATTCCAGGAGGGGGGGAAAATCATCTCCATTTCAGGAGGGGGAAAAATCATTTCCATTCCAGGAGGGGGGGGAAAAATCATCTCCATTCCTGGAGGGGGAAAAATCTCCATTCCAGGAGGGGGAAAAAATCATCTCCATTCCAGGGGGGGAAAAAAATCATCTCCATTCCGGGAGGGGGAAAAAATCATCTCCATTCCAGGGGGCAAAATCATCTCCATTCCAGGGGGGGCAAAATCATCTCCATTCCAGGGGGGAAAAATCTCCATTCCAGGAGGGGGGGGGAAAATCATCTCCATTTCAGGAGGGGGAAAAATCATTTCCATTCCAGGAGGGGGAAAAAATCATCTCCATTCTAGGGGGGGAAAAATCATCTCCATTCTAGGGGGGGAAAAAATCATTTCCATTCCTGGAGGGGGAAAATCATCTCCATTCCTGGAGAGGGGAAAAAATCATCTCCCTTCTGTGGGGGGAAAAAATCATCTCCAGGAGGGGGAAAAAATCATCTCCATTCCTGGAGGGGGGAAAAATCATCTCCATTCCTGGAGAGGGGAAAAAATCATCTCCCTTCTATGGGGGGAAAAAATCATCTCCAGGAGGGGGAAAAAATCATTTCCATTCCAGGAGGGGGGAAAATCATCTCCATTCCAGGGGGGAAAAAAATCATTTCCATTCCAGGAGGGGGAAAAAATCTCCATTCCTGGAGTGGGGAAAATCATCTCCATTCCAGGGTAAGTGGGTGGGGGGTTTGGGGTGGGATCTGCCTGCAAACCCCCCCGTGCTGGGTACCATGACCCAGCGGGGTGGGAGCGCCAGCCCCGCAGCCCCACATCTGGAAGGGATTCTGCCGGGAAGGGCGGATGGAGCCTTTGCACCGCACCCTCCTCTCCCTCCCTCCCATCCTGGTGAAGGCCTGGCCCCAAATAACCCCCCCGGGGCGCCGGTCACCCCTGGGAAGGGCACGGATGAGCCGTGAGCCGGTGCCAGGGCAGCAGCCCCAGCTGGCTCAGCCTCCGGAAACATCCGGCACCATCCACCCCCCCCTTTCCCGGCAGAAATCCTCACAAACCGCAGAAATCCCGAGCGCAAACCCTGGGGGGCTCCCCCAGCCCGGCCAGGGCTCCATCGCTGCCCCGGGACCCCCCCAAAATGCTCCCAGAGCCCTCCCGGGAGGATGGAGGGGGTGCTTGGGGGTGTTTCCCCTTCCTCAGTGCCGGGATCCACCCCGGGAGGGGCTCTCGGGTACCCTCACCCCATAGAGGAGCTGGAGCTGTTTGGGGTCACCCCAGCTTGGGAGAGAACATTCGGGGGGCTCCTCTGTGCGTGTGTGGGGTGAAGCCTGAGCAAGGGCAGGTCACCGCCGTGCCCGCCCCATGTCCCCACAAACGCTCCGCAGCTGGCGGGACGCGGCCCCCACCTCCCCCCGCCTCTGGCCACGGCCACGGCCGCTGCGGAAATGAAACACAGCTGGAAACACAGCTGGACGGCGCGGCCGAGCCCGGCCCGGCCCCGCGGCCGCTGCGACCCCCGGCTGTGCGGCGGGAGGGAGCACGCGTGCCCCAGGAGCGCTGCTGGGCCGGGACCGTGCTCAGCTCCAGGACCCTGCCCTGGGCCGGGACCCTTCATTCCAGGACCCTCATTCAGCTCCAGGACCCTCACTCAGCTCCAGGACCCTGCCCTGGGCCGGGACCCTCCATTCCAGGACCCTCACTCAGCTCCAGGACCCTTATTCAGCTCCAGGACCCTGCCCTGGTTCCAGACCCTTCATTCCAGGACCCTCACTCAGCTCCAGGACCCCTCCTCAGCTCCAGGACCCTGCCCTGGTTCCAAACCCTTACACAGCTCCAGGACCCTGCCCTGAGCCAGGACTCCTACTCAGCTCCAGGACCCTCACTCAGTTCCAGGACCCTGCCCCGGTTCCAGACCCTTCCTCAGCTCCAGGACCCTGCCCTGGTCCGGGACCCTCACTCAGCTCCAGGACCCTGCCCTGGTCCGGGACCCTCACTCAGCTCCAGGACCCTGCCCTGGCTCCAGACCCTGACCCAGCCCAGTCTGGGACCCTTCCTCAGCCCCGGGTCCCTTCCTCAGCCCCAGGACTCTGCCCCAGCCCCCGGACCCTTCCTCATCCCCAGGACCCTTCCTCAGCCCCGGGTCCCTTCCTCAGCCCCGGGACCCTTCCTCATCCCCAGGACCCTTCCTCATCCCCAGGACCCTTCCTCAGCCCCGGGACCCTTCCTCAGCCCCGCCAAGCCCCCCCCGCCGTTCCAGCCCCATCCGGAGGGACCCCAGGGTGAGATCGAAGCCATCCCCCGGCCCCTGCCCCGCATCCCGCACCCTCCGGGGGCTGGGGCCCGGCCGGCTGCTTCTCATTTCCAGGGCCATAAACCCCTTTAACGACCGGCCATTTATAACCGCTGTAAAGCCCTAATCAGCGCCAGAGCCAGCGCAGACACAAAGGCTCCCGCCTGCTCCTCCGCCCTCCCACCTTCCTCCGCATTTTGGGGCTCGCACAGCTTTTCCCACCCCCACCAGGCCGATCGGGGTGGGGGGATGAACCCCCAGAACCCCACAAGCTCCGTGGGATGCTCGGCCCCCAGCATTGCGGGGGGATCCAAATCCCCAAAAAAGCAGGAATGGCCTCTCCTCCTGTACCCCAAAAGCCTCCCTCGGGCTCCAGCGCCCCGAGCCAAGCGCAGCCACGTAAACACGAGGAAAGGCTGGAAAAAATGACGCGCGGCGGGGGCTCGGGGCCGCGGCCAGCGCGGCGGGGGCGGCTGCGGGCTCGGCACCGGCACCGGCACCGCTCCCGGTAACGGCAACACCGGGGAGAAAACGGGGTACGGGGAGAAAACGGGGTGAGGGGGGGTCGGGGAAGGGGCCAGCTGGGCTCTGGCAGGGAGAGGAGGAGGCGGAGGAGGAAGAGCAGATGTCGGAGGGTGCCGGTGACGGCCCGGTAAGGGACCCCCCGCTCCCGCCCACCGGGGCCGGGGGCTCCTCCCCGCCGCCAGCGAAGGGAAGAGCTCTGGAATCATTTCTTTTTAATTAGCATTTTGCACATAAAGCTTTCAGTTCAAAGCGGTTCCCGTCAAGGCTCGGGCGCCTTCAGGGTCTCCGGTTGCCTCTCCGGGGCAGCGCAGGGGGGGATTCGCCCCGGGACCCTCAGGGTCACCCCCGGGGCAGCTCGGGCAGGACGGGGCGATGCTGCTCGCCATGCCCGGCGTTATCCCGCCCCTTGCACAACGAGGAAGGTGGAATTTCACCAGCTTAAAGCGATCCCAGGCGCAGTGCCCGGGCTCACAGAGGTAGTTTGGGGAGGAGGAAGGAGCCTGCTCCACTCCCCACGCCCCAAGGATGCCCCAAAGTCACTCCAGCAGCTCCGCAGTGTTCTGGGGGTGCAGAATCCCTGAGACCCCTCTGGGTTCCTCCCCTTTGCGGGGGAAGGCACCGGCCCGGGCCCTGCCCTCGCCCTGGGGACAGCGGCACAAGGCACGACCGGCTTGGGGACAGGGACATCGCACCCGGCTCCTCCTCAGCCACGGACACGGCAGCGCCTCAGCGCTCACGGGACCCTCGAGGGGCAGGGCCAGGCTGGGGGTGTCACTGTGGGACCCCCCCCAGATGCTGGGGGTGTCACTCTGAGCCCCCCCAGAGGCAGGACCAGGCTGGGGATGTCAGTGTGGGACCCCCCCCAAAGGCAGGACCAGGCTGGGGGTGTCACTGTGGGACCCCCGAGAGGCTGGGGGTGTCACTGTGGGTCCCCCCCACAGGCAGGGCCGGGCTGGGGGTGTCACTGTGGGTCCCCCCAGAGGCAGGACCGGCCTCTTGGCACCTGTTGGCCCCTCTGGGGCCCCCCCCCAGAGGCAGGAGTGGGTTGGGGGTGTCACTCTGAGCCCCCCCCTAGAGGCCAGACCAGGCTGGGGGTGTCACTGAGCTCCCCAGGGTGTCACTCTGAGCTGCCCCCATAGGCTGGGGGTGTCACTCTGAGCCCCCCCAGAGGCAGGACCAGGCTGGGGGTGTCACTCTGAGCCCCCCCCACAGGCTGGGGGTGTCACTCTGAGCCCCCCAGGTGTCACTCTGAGCCCCCCAGGTGTCACTTCTGCTCCGGGTTCTGCTGCAGGTGCTGCTCCCACTCCTCCTCCACCACCTTGTAGAGCTCCATGGTGGCTCGGGCATCTTCCACCGAGGAGTGGCCGCTTTTCCCCACCTGTGGGCACAGACACAAAGTGGCCACAGCTCCCAGTTTGGGGGGGCAGCCACAACTGGGAGAGGGTGGGGGGGGATGTACAGGGATTAGAGAGTGCAGGCAGCTGTGGCAGGGGGGATGCAGGAAGATTTGGGGTGCACGATTTAGGGTGGATCAGGGCCTATGGGCAGCTCCAGGGGGCTGCAGGCAGATTGGGTGGGCAGGTGCAGGGAGATCAGAGGGTGCAGGCAGATTTGGGGGTGCAGGAAGCTCTGGGGGGATGCAGGCAGATTTGGGGAGTATAGGGAGATTTGGGGGAGGAATGCAGGGAGCTTAGGGGGGTATAGAGAGATCTGGGGGGGATTCAGGGAGCTTAGAGGGGTATAGGGGGATGCAGGGAGCTTATGGGGGTACAAGGAGATGTAGGGGGATGCAGGGAGCTTAGGGGGGTACAGGGAGATTTAGGGGGGATGGAGGGATCTTAGGGGAGTATAGAAAGATTTGGGGGGGATGCAGGGAACTTAGAGGGGTACAGGAAGCTCTGGGGGGATGCAGGGAGCTTAGGGGGGTATAGAGAGATCAGGGGGAGATGCAAGCAGATTTGGGGGTACAGGAAGCTCTGGGGGGATGCAGGGTGCTTAGGGGGGTTCAGGGGGATGCAGGGAGCTTAGGGGGGTATAGAGAGATTGGGGGAGATGCAAGCAGATTTGGGGGTACAGGAAGCTCTGGGGGGATGCAGGGAGCTTAGGGGGGCACAGGGAGATTTAGGGGGAAGCAGGGAGCTTAGAGGGGTAGAGGAAGCTCTGGGGAAACACGGAAAATTGGGGAGGTGCAGGCAAAGCTGTGGGGTGTGCATAAAGGAGAAAGAGCAGGAAAAAACCTCCCAAGGCTGCAGGGGTTGAGCTGAAAGGGAAACTGAGGCACGGGGCTGCCCTGCTCCAGCACTGGCAGCCATGGCTGAACTCGGGGTGCCTCAGATCTTCCCCCCTCCCTCCCCACTGTCCCCTGGCGTGGTGAGGGGGTGCCCAGGGTACCTGGATGTCCTGGTTGAGCAGGGCCTTGGTGAGGCGTTTCAGGGAGATGGCCACGTTCTCAGGGAAGCCAGCCCTGCGGTTCAGCAGCGGCATCTGGGACGTGTCCCTGGTCAGGGCTTTGGGGTGGCAGTAATGGAGAGCCTTGAAGTCGTTGTGGATGGCGTGGCCCACCACCACCTTGCCAGCAAGGATCTGCAGAACCTGCAGGAGACAGGGGGGTGAGACCCACAGCAGGACCGTGCCTGCTCTGGGGGAGCTTCCTGCCCCCCTCCCCAGAACAGGGGCAGCCCCTTGGGGCAGAGCTGTGGGGCTGAGTGAGGGGGGTGCAGTGTGGGGACAATCCCTGTGCCCCAGAGGGCAGCCCCTAGACCCCCACACAGCCCCTGAGCTGCAGATCTCTACCCTGTGCCCCCCACCACCCCTGGCCTTGCCATCCCTCACTCCCTGCCCCAGCCCACGAGCCCAGCCCTGCACCCCCAGCCCCACAATCTCGGTGTTCCCCAGCAGAACCAGGCCCTGCAGCCCCCATCCCCACCCCATAACCCCAGGCCCTGCAGCCCCCATCCCCACCCCATAACCCCAGGCCCTGCAGCCCCCATCCCCACCCCATAACCCCAGGCCCTGCAGCCCCCATCCCCACCCCATAACCCCAGTCCTGAGCCTGTACCCAAGCCCTAGAGCCACCCCCTCCCAGCCCTGCACTCCCAATCCAATCCTAGGAATTGTCCCTGGGGCACAGGGATTGTCCCCATGCTGCCATGTGGGGCACAAGGATTGTCCCCACGCTGCCATGTGGGGCACAAGGATTGTCCCCACGCTGCCATGTGGGGCACAGGGATTGTCCCAGGGGTACAGGGATTGTCCCCAGGGGCACAGGGATTGTCCCCCCTACCCTGTTGGGCACAGGGGTTGTCCCCAGGGGCACGGGGATTGTCCCAGGGGTACAGGGATTGTCCCCCCTGCCCTGTGGGGCACAGGAATTGTCCCAGGGGTACAGGGATTGTCCCCCCTGCCCTGTGAGGAGGATAGGGATTGTCCTCACCTGCCCTGTGGGGCACAGGGATTGTGCCCACAATGCCCTCTGGGATTGTCCCTGCCCTGTGGGGCACAGGGATTGTCCCTGTCCTGCCCTGTGAGGGGCACAGGGATTGTCCCCAGGGGCACAGGGATTGTCCCCACTTGCCCTGTGGGGATTGTCTCCCCTGCCCTCTGGGGCACAGGGAATGTGCCTGGGGTACAGGGATTGTCCCCAGGGGCACAGGGATTGTCCCCACTTGCCCTGTGGGGATTGTCTCCCCTGCCCTCTGGGGCACAGGGAATGTGCCTGGGGTACAGGGATTGTCCCCAGGGGCACAGAGGTTTTCCCCAGGGGTACAGGGATTGTCCCAGGGGTACACGGATTGTCCCCCTTGCCCTGTGGGGATTGTCCCCCACACCCCATACCCCCCACAGCCCCTGTCCCCGTGCCCATGGCGCTCTGTGTGCCCGCCAGGCTGACCTGCTGCTGTGCCCTGCGGAAGGGCACGGCCTGTGCCATGTGCCGCGGGCGGATGCCGCTCCAGCGGGTCCGGTAATCCACGATGGGCGCCTCGGGCCGCACGTACCGGTCGTACACCACGTCCCCCTCGTAGGTGACGATGCTGCAGCGGGCCAGGGCGCTGGTGCGACCCCCGGGGCCCGTACCCACCATCTCACAGTCCAGGGCCACCAGCTTGGGGGGCGCCGGGGGGGCCCCCACAGCCCCCCGAGCCTTGCCCTTGGCTCCGGTGGCACCGTTCTGGGACACCCCCCGAGCCTTGCCCTTGGCTCCGGTGCTGCCATTCTGGGACACCCCCTGAACCTTGCCCTTGCTCTGAGCAGGAGCTCCGGTGCCGGTGGGGCCGTTCTGTGCCGCCCCCCGAGCCTTCCCCTTGCTCCCAGTGGGGCCGTTCTGTGATGGGCACCGGGGGGTGCTGGCAACACCGTTCTCTTTAGGGCTGCGTTTGGCCCCCGCACGCCGTGCCCGGCCTGGCCGGGCCGCTCCCGGTGCTGCCGGGAGCTGTTTCTGCCGCAGGACCCCGCGGCGCTCCAGCTCCCGGCGCCGCCGCACAAAGCTCTGGTGCTTTCGGTTCCCCGGCTCCTTCTTGGAGCGGCGCTCCGGGGCGGAGAAGTCAACGTTGAGGATCAGATCGTCCATGGTGGGGCCGCTGCGGGGCGGAGACGGGGGTCAGCGGCAGGGCCCTGGGCACCGGGAAACCCCGGGACCGGGAACCCCCCACCCCCGGGACTCCCGGCACCGGGAACCCCCAACCGCCGGGACCCCCGGTACTGGGAACCCCCAACTCCCAGGACTCCCGGTACCGACAATCCCTGACCCGTGGTACCGGGAAACCGCGACCCCTGACTCCCAGGACTCCCGGTCCCTGCAATCCCCGACCCCCGGGACTCCCGGCACCGGGAACCCCTGACTCCCGGTACCGGCAATCCCCGATCCCCGGGACTCCCAGCAGCGGGAACCCCCGATCCCCGGGACTCCCAGCAGCGGGAACCCCCGACCCCCGGGACTCCCGGTACCAGGAACCGCAGATCCTCGGGACTCCCGGGCAATCCCCGACCCCCGGTACCGGAGATTCCCGGTTTCACCCGTACCCCCCTCTCACCTCCGCGCCCCGGAACCGGAAGTTCCCGGGAAACACGCGGCCAGCCCGGTCCCGGCAGTGACGTCATCCGCGCGCGCCGCGGCGGGAACTCGGCGGCGCCGGGCGCTGAGGGACACGCGCGCGGCTGCTCCGTGACGTGTTTGATGACGTCAGATCTACGTCACGTAGCATCGGCGACGACATGCCCGGTGTGCCGGCCGGACCGGTGACGTCACGGGTGTCCAGGGGTGAGTGATGTCAGGGGCTGCGGTGTTACATCTGCGTGACGTCACGGCGGGACGCATTCGTGCGTGACGTCACTGCCCAATGACGTCATGCGGGTGCTGAATGGCGTGGGCAGAGCCGGGGAAGGGGTGAGAGTGCCAGGCTGCCCTCAGGGTGCCAGGGCTGATGTCCCGCAGGAGCCGCCATGGCAGCCGTGGCCCTTGGAGCCCCAGAGCCGCCATGGCAGAGCCCGGAGCAGCGCAGAGCCGCCGACATCATCCGCCTGCTGAGCCTCTACCGGCCCCTGCTCGACGCCTTCGTCATTGTGAGTGTCCCGGAGCTGTGCCCGGGCTGTGCCCCAGGGCTGTGACCCCCTGAGCTGTGCCCCATGAGCTGTGACTCCCAGGCTGTGCCACTGAGCTGTGACCCCAGGTTATGACCCCTAGGCTGTGTCCCCCGGGCTGTGCCCACTGAGCTGTGATCCCTATTCTGTCCCCCAGGGCTGTGTCCCTCAGGCTGTGACCCCCATTCTGTCCCCTAGGCTGTGCCTGCTGACTTGTGCCCACTGGGGTGTGCCCCTCAAGCTGTGCCCCCCAGGCTGTGCCCCCTGGCCTGTGCCCACTGAGCTATGATCCCTATTCTGTCCCCCAGTCTGTGCCCCCACTCTGCCCCCTCTCCCCACAGGATTTCTTCACCGAGGATCTGTGGTCCCAGCTGCCCCCAGCCTGGCAGCCTGCCCTGGCTGGTGCCACCCCAGAGCAGCTGGCCGGGCTGCTGGGGGGCCGTGGGGGCCCGAGGGCGGCCTGGCCGCTGTCCCTGCTGGCCTTTGGGGCCGCTGCCCGTGCCCTGGCCTTCCCCCGGGGCTGCCCGGGCTCGGCCCCGCGCCCGCCGTGCCAGAGCTCCCGCCTGCCCCCGCTGCTGCGCCGCCACATCAAACCCAAAAAACAGCACGAGATCCAGCGCCTGGGCAAGGTGGGTGCCCCTCGCCCCCCCCCCCGGCTGCCCCCAGCCCCCTAAAAGCCCCCTAAAAACCCCCTAAGAGCCCCCTAAGAGCTGCCTTTCCCCACAGCTGCTGCAGCGGCTGAGCCGCGCCACCGGCTGCGAGCACGTGGTGGATATTGGAGCGGGGCAGGTGAGAGCAGGGGGACATGGAAGGGGGGGTCCTGGGGATCCCCCCAGCCCAGCTGAGCCCGTGTCCCCCCCAGGGCCACCTGTCCCGGTTCCTGGCCTTTGCCCTGGGGCTCAGGGTCACTGCCGTGGAGAGCGACGCCCGCCTGTCGGGCCTGGCCGAGCGCTTTGACCAGGAGCTGCTGCAGGAGCTGACCAAAGCCAGGGCCCTGGCACACAGGGGAGCCCCCCCGTGCCCCCTGACCCCCCGTGCCCCCCAGCACATCCCCGGCCGCCTGGACCCCACAGCTCCCTGGGGGCAGTTCCTGCTGCCCCCCCGACCCACCAGGAGCCAGCCCCGCTGCCCGCAACCCTCTGGGGGGCCCGGGGGGCTCTGAGGACGGGGACAGGGTGCTGGTGACAGGGCTCCACGCCTGCGGGGACCTCGGGCCTGCCCTGCTGTGCCACTTTGCCCGCAGCCCTGCCGTGACCGCCGTGGCCCTGGTGGGCTGCTGCTACATGAAGCTGTCGAGCGGCCCCAGAGCAGCAGCAGCACCCTGGGTACCCCCTGAGCGCCTCGGTGGCGGCACTGCCGGGCCACCAGCTGTCCTACCGGGCACGGGAGGCTGCGTGCCACGCTCTGGAGGAGTACCAGGCCCGGCTGAGAGGGGGCAGTGCCCACCTGCGTGCCCACTGCTACCGCGCCGTGCTTGAGAGCCTGATCCGCGCCGCCGAGCCCGGCAAGAGGCACCTGGGGCTGCAGCCCGGCAGGAAGGCACACACCCTGAGCTTCCCCCAGTGAGTCTGGGCATGGGGACCCCCCTTCTGCATCCCCTGGTGGGCACCAGTGAGTCTGGGCATGGGGATCCCTTTCTGCATCCCCTGGTGGGCACCAGTGAGTCTGGGCATGGGGACCCCCCTGTGCATCCCCTGGTGGGCACCAGTGAGTTTGGGCATGGGGATCCCCTTCTGCATCCCCTGGTGGGCACCAGTGAGTCTGGAAATGGGGACCCCCCTTCTGCACCCCAGTGAGTCTGGAAATGGGGACCCCCTTCTGCATCCCCTGCTGGGCACCAGTGAGTCTGGGCATGGGGACCCCCCTTGTGCATCCCCTGGTGGGCACCAGTGAGTCTGGAAATGGGGGCCCCCTTGTGCATCCCCTGGTGGGCACCAGTGAGTCTGGAAATGGGGACCCCCCTTCTGCACCCCAGTGAGTCTGGAAATGGGGACCCCCTTCGGCATCCCCTGGTGGGCACCAGTGAGTCTGGAAATGGGGATCCCCTTCTGCATCCCCTGGTGGGCACCAGTGAACCCTTTCTGAGAGATCTGCTGAGTTGGGGGATGGAGGATCCCTTTCTGGGATGTCTCCTAGCTCCCCATGAGTCTGGGGAGGGAGACCCTTTTCTGGAACTCTCCTTGTGAGTTTGGAGAGGGGGAACCCCATTTTGGGACCATCTTCATGAGTGTGGGGAGTGGGATCAACCTCCTGTGTCCCTTCCTGGCCCTGCAGTGAGTTAGGGGAGGGGGGAACCCCCTTTTGAGACCCTCTTCATGTGTGGGGAGTGGGATCAACCTCCTGTGTCCCTTCCTTGCCCCACAGTGAGACTGGGAAGGGGGAACCCCCTTTAGGGACCCTCTTCATGTGTGGGGAGTGGGATCAACCTCCTGTGTCCCTTCCTGGCCCTGCAGTGAGACTGGGGAGGGGTGAACTCCCTCCTGGGACCCTCCTGACGAGTTTGGGGCTGGGGGAGTCCTGCCTGGCACTCCCCTGCCCCCTTTCCATGACAGATACGCCCAGCTGGGGCTGTCCCTGGCGGGACTGGACCCAGAGGGGGTCCCAGTGGACTCGGGGGCTGTGGGGGCCATGCTGGAGCAGCAGCACAAGGTGGTGGCGTTCTGCACCCTGGGGCAGCTCCTGGCACCCGCCGTGGAGACCCTGATCCTGCTGGACCGGCTGCTCTACCTGCGGGAGCAAGGTGGGCATGGGCACAGCTGCCAGGGTGATGCTCCCCCTGCTGTCTCCTCTCTCCCTGCACCCCTCTCTCTCTCTGTTCTCCCAACTCTCTTCTCTCCCTTTTCCCCCAGGTTTCCACTGTGCCCTCGTGCCCCTGTTCAACCCCCGGTTCTCCCCACGGAACCTGGTGCTGGTGGCTGCACGGACCCCACTGGACACAGCCCTGGCTGGGCTGGCCAAGGACCCTGAGGATGGGCACAGCAGTGAGGATGAGGATGTGGAGGAAGCAGAGTCCCCCAGGGAGGGGCAGAACCACCAATAAACCCAGGATTTGTACACTCCAGTGCTGGCTGTGAGTCAGTGCCACACCAAAAACACAAACACAGCAAATTGAGGGGGTGTTTATTGCAGAGCCCACCTTGGGGGGCCCCCAACTCCCCCAGTTAATACCAGGAGGATTTCTTGGCCTTCTTCAGGGAGCTCCCAGCTCTCCTAGTTTATACCAATAGGATTTCTAGACTCCCAGCTCTCCCAGTTAATACCAGTAGGATTTTTTGGCCTGCCTCAGGGGGCTCTCAGCTCTCCCAGTTAATACCAGGAGGATTTCTTGGCCCGCCTCAGGGGGCTCTCAGCTGCCTCTCAGCTGCCCCAGTTTATACCAGTAGGATTTCTTGGCCTTCCTCAGGGGGCTCCCAGCTCTCCCAGTTAATACCAGTAGGATTTCTTGGCCCGGCGTGTCTCCACAATGCCCATGGCATCCATGATCTCCTCCTCAAAGGTCTTCAGCGACGGCCGGTACGTCTTGGCCAGCGCGTCCTCCTGGGACGTGTCCTTGGGGCCATCTGTGCAGGCAGGGGGACAAGGCTGACCCCCCTGACCCCTCTGTGTGCCCTTCCCCGTGCCCCCAGCCCCCTGTGCCACCCCTCTCACCGATCCACTGCTCAGGCACGACGCCGTCCTTGCGTGGCTGCGGGGGCACGGGCAGGATGCGGCCGCTGCGCAGCGACACGCGGACGCGCTCGCCCTCCTCCGTGAACCTCCACTCCACCTCCGTGGGCTTCCTGCGGGCACACGGCATTGGTGGCGGGCAGGAGCAAAGTGGGGGGACCCCTCAGCACCCCTCAGCACCCCCCAGCCATGTTTTACCGATCCTCAGGGTCCACCAGGCTGATCTGGCTGAGCAGCAGAGGCGCCTCGCTGGCGATGTAGGTGCCCGAGTACTTGGCGGTGCGGTTGATGTAGCGATAGTGCTGTGAGGGCATGAGGGTCACCCGTGGGGCTCACTGATGACCCCATGGCCACCTCAGCCTCCCCAGGGCCTCCTGCAGCCCTCCCTGCCGCAGCCTCACCGTGTTCAGTCCTTCCACCACCACCCAGTTGCGGGCTTGCACCACCTGGCTGACCAAGCCCTGCTTCCCCGCGTCCTTCCCGGCCAGCACCTGCACCTGCGGTGGGGAGAGGGGCACAGGTGTGTGAAAAACGCCAATCACTCGTTTTTAAAATTTTAAAAGTTTAGTAGTTATAAAGTGGTTATAAAAAATAGTAATACAATTAGAGTAATGGTAATTTGGACAACTTGAATTAGGACAATATGAGACAATAAATACAAAGAGTTAGGACGTCCGGGTACCTTTTTCTGGGCAGCACCAGCCCGAAAAAGGACACCCGTTAACAAAGGATTAACCCTTAAAAACAACAGCCTGTTGCATATTCATACACTTCATACATGATGCATAAATTCCATTCAAACACAGGATTCTGTCTGGTCATCATCAACTTCTTCCTCTGAATCTTAACAGCACCTTTGAGGCAGGAAGAAGTTCGTTTCTACTGATAATGGAGCAATAAATTCTCTTTCTCTGAAAGATTGAGGTGTCCTGTGGCTGCTATCTCACTGCCAGTCCTTTCTTTAGAAAAGTATCCTACATAGCACAGTTTCTATTTTAACATTTTGTTATAACCTAAAACTCTAACACACTACTTAAGAGAATGAACACAGCATTACTTTCTAACACAACACATCTAATATTCATTTCAGTATTTGCGAAAAGCCAACCATAAAACACATGCATTTTTCACAGGTGAGACCCCGGCCAGGGGGAGCAGCCTGGGGAGGGGGAGCCTCACCGTGTCACCCTTGAACACCTTCCAGTCGTCCTTGGCGATGGGTTCCACGAAGACCTTACGGCGGCGCTGCCCCGGGGGGTTGCGGAGCCGGGCGGCGGTGGAGTCGGGCGGCCACGTTCCGTGCCGGTAGCCCGGGGGCAGCCGCGGCCGTGCCGCGCTCAGCAGGACCGACAGACGCATGGTGCTGCGGGCTGGGAGGGCAGGGGGGCTCTGGGGACACCCCTCATCCTCACCAGGGTCATTGCGTGCAGGTGTGGGTCCGGCAGAGTCACCCCAACCCACCCGGAGCAGCCCCGGAAGGGGAGGGAAGCGTCTGGCAGAGCAGCCCCCCACAAATGGGATCCCACAGATCCTCAACCCCCCCAACAGATCCCCACACCCCAAAGGGGATCCAGGTACTGGCAGAGCCATCCCTCACCCATGGAGGAACCCGGGGATCCCACAGGGCACCCCCCACCCAAAGGGGACCCCAGTGTCCTGCAAAGCACCCTCTCATCCCAGCGGGGCCCTGCAGAGCCCCCTACTCCCCGAAGAGAACCGAGGGGTCACACAGACATCTCCCCCCTTCCCCAGGGGGAACAGGGCACCCTGCACACGGGGAGAGACCCCAGCAAGGAGCACCCAGGGGTCCCACAGAGCTCATTCCCCCAAAGGGGGACACGGGCAGAGCGTCCCCCACTCCCGAAGGGCTCCATGGATACCCCAGAGACCCCCCTGAGCCCCAAAGCCCCCCCTGACTCCCAAAAGCCCCTCTGACTCCCAGAGCCCCCCCTGGCTCCCAAAGCCCCCCCCACCACCCAAAGGGCACCCGCAGAACACACACCCCCTCCACCCATCGGGAACGACACCCGCAGAGCCCCGGCCGCCCCCGAAGGGCCCCCAGCACCCCGGAATAGCCCCGCAGAGCCCCCTCGGGCGTCCCCCTCCCGACCCCCCTTACCTGAGGGGTCGCGCCGCTCCCGCGCTCCGGGGGGCGTGGCCAACCGGGATGGGCGTGGCCAAGCGCGCTGCGGCGGAGGTCGCGGGGCACGCAGGGAGTTGTAGTCCTGGCGCGGGGCATGCCGGGAGTTGTTGTCCTAGCGCGGGGCACCCCGGGAGCTGTAGTCCCGCCGCCCCTCCGGCCCTCAGCCCCGGCCCACGGTGAGCGGCTGCCGGGAGCTGTAGTCCGGTCACGGCTCCATCTTCTGCTGCTGCCCTCCCTGCCCCCGGGGTTTGTTCAGGGGCAGGGGACGGTCAGTGCTGTCTCCTGTGCAGGGAGCCAGGCACGCCTCTCCAGGCCAGGCTGTGCGTGTGGGACAGAGCAGCCAAGGACGGTCACAGCCCCAAGGCTGACACAGCTCACGGAGAGTTTAGCATGGCCCTCGGGCACAGGATGGGATTTTGGGGTGTCCAGAGCCAGACTCGATTATCCTGCTTGTTCCTGCTCAGGATATTCCACTATCCCAGCACCAAAGCTGAGTGCTTGGACAAGGCTCTAGGATTTTGGGATTGGGAACATTTTGGGGTGTCCTGTGCAGGGCCCAGAATTGGATTCGATTATCCTGACAGGGCCCTTCCTGCTCAGGATATTCCACTATTCCAGCATAAAATCTGAGTGCTTGGACAAGGCTCTAGGATTTTGGGATTGGGAACATTTTGGGGTGTCCTGTGCAAGGCCAGAGCTCGATGAGCCCTGTGGGCCCCTCCCAGCTCAGGACATTCCATAATTTCATGATCCTAAAGGTTTAGACAATGTGTTTAGACAATGCTGGGATTTTGAGGGCAGCAGTAAGAGTTGATCCTTCTGTGTCTGACCCAGCTCAGGGCATTCTGTGATTCTGCAGTTCCCATTTCAGCTCCCTCCAAACCCTCCCCTGCCCCAGCCCCATCTCTCCCCCTGGTCCATGTATTGCCAGAGGGGCTGTAGCAGCCCAAAGGGTCCCAAACCCCCCCATGCAGAGGTTCCAGGGGCTCACCCAGGTCCCACAAGCACTTCTAAAAAGGCAAGATTCGCTTTTATTTCAAATCAACAGCTCAGCCCCGAGGAATCGCCAACACAAAGCGTGTGCCCACAGCAGGGCAGGCACAGAGCGCTCGGGGGCAGGACCCAGCTGCTCTGCATTCCTCTCTTTTCTTTTTTTGTTGGTTTTTTTTCTTTGTTTTCTTTTGGAAATTTCCTTGTCTGGAGCTCCGGACGCGACGAGCCGGCGTGGGGCAGCACCAGGAGCCAGGGGGAAGGATCAGCTCGCCAGGGAAGCCACTACAGGCTGTGGGGGCCAAGAACAGAGCCAGGCTCTTGTCAGACCCCCCAAAACCTGGAGGCTGTGGGGACAGGGCTCAGAGCACCCCCCTCACCTCTCCTTGTGGTCTCTGACCTCCTCCTTGCCCTCCTGCTTGGCCTCGTTGGTGGCCGGTGTGTCGGCGGCGTCGCTGTTCTTGTCCCCCTCTCCTGGGTTGGCTTTGGGCTCCTCCTTGGGGGCCTCTTCATTGGCCACCTTCTTGTCCCCTTCCTGCCCCTCTGCATCCTTGGGGCGTTTGGGGGAGTCCTGGGTGGAGGGGGAACTCAGGTCAGCCCAGCCCTTGTAAACATCTCCTGTCCCCAGCATCCCCATTCCCATCCCCTGTCCCCAACATCCCCATCCCCTGTCCCAAACAATCTCTGTCCCCAACATCCCCATCCCCTGTCCCAAAAAATCCCCATCCCCTGTCCCAAAAAATCCCCATCCCCTGTCCCAAATATCCCCATCTCCTATCCCCAACATCCCCTGTCCCAAACATTCCCATCCCCTGTCCCCTGTCCCAAAAATCTACATACTCTGTCCCCAACATCCCCATCCTCTGTCCCCAACATCCCCTGTCCCAAACATTCCCATCCCCTGTCCCAAACACCCCATCCCCAACATCTCCAGCCCCTGTCCCAAACATCCCCAGCCCCAAACATCTCCATCCCTGGTCCCAAACATCCCCTGTCCCCTGTCCCCAACATCCCCAGCCCTGTCCCCTGTCCCCAACGTCCCCATCCTCTGTCCCCAACATCCCCTGTCCCAAAAATCCCCAGCCCTGTCCCAAACATCCCCCATCCCCCTCCCTGTCCCCAACATCCCCTGTCCCAAAAATCCCCAGCCCTGTCCCCAACATCCCCATCCCCTGTCCCCAACATCCCCATCCCATGTCCCCAACATCCCCTGTCCCAAACATTCCCATCCCCTCTCCCAAACATCCCATCTCCATCCCTGTCTTCAACATCCCCTGTCCCCAACATCCTCAGCCCCTGTCCCAAACATCTCCCATCCCAAACATCCCCAGCTCCTATCCCAAACATCCCCGGTCCCCAACACCCCCATCCCCTCTCCCAAACATCCCATCTCTGTCCCCAACATCCCCATCCCCTGCCCCTGTCCCCAACACCCTCTGTCCCCAATATCCCCAGTCCCAAATATCTCCATCCCCTGTCCTCAACATCCCATCCCCATTCCTTTGTCCCCGAACATCCCCATCCCCTCTCCCAAACATCCCATCCCCTGTCCCCAACATCCCCTGTTCCAAACATCCTCTGTCCCCAATATCCCCAGTCCCAAATATCTCCATCCCCTGTCCTCAACATCCCATCCCCTCTCCCAAACATCCCATCCCCATCCCCTGTCCCCAAACATCCCCATCCCCTCTCCCAAACATCCCCATCCCCTCTCCCATTCATCCCATCCCCATCCCCTGTCCCCAAACATCCCCATCCCTTCCCCCAAACATCCCCATCCCCATTCCCTGTCCCTAACATCCCCAATCCCAAACATCCCCAGCCCCCCCAGTACCTCCAAAGCATCCTCAGCTTTCCTCTTGCTGGCTCCTTTCTCATTCTTCTCCTTGCTCTGCTCGTCGATCACCAGCTTCCCCTCCTCGTCACTGCTGCCCTCAGCGTTGCCCTTCTTGTCCCCGTCCCCCTCCGGCTCCCGCTCGGCCGCCTCGGGGCAGCTCTTCTTCTGGGTGGGCTGTGGGCAGGGGGGGTTCACAGAGGGCTCCCAGGAGGGAGGAAAGGTGTGGGGAGCTGGGATGGAGCCCCCCCAGCTCATGACCCACCTGGTAACCGGAGGCTTTGACCGTGGGGTTGTTCTCGATCTCCCACAAACCTTCGCTGAAGCCTTTCCGCTTGTTGGGTTTGCCAAACTTCTCCTTGCACTCCTCGTAGGGGAAGAGGTCTTTGGGCCCCAGGAATGCCCTGTGCCAGGGGAAAAGGGTGAGGGGTGGGAGCAGAAGGGGGGATCTCACCTGTCCCAAACTCACTGTGAGCCCCAGCTCCCACTCACGTTTCGTGGGTCCCGAAGAAGAAGACTTGGTACTTATTGGAAGAGGATTTGACTGCAGCTTCTGGCATCTCATCAATCTGTGGGACACAAAGGACAGGCTGAGAGGAGAGGGCAGAGAGCCCTGGGCCTCCTCAGACCCCAGGACATCCCCTGCAGTGTCCTGTTGATGGGCACAGCTCAGGAAAGGAAAATTCCTTGGGAATTCCCCCACTATCTGGAGACAGAGCTGGCAGGAAGTGCCCAGTGGTGTAGGGGCCAGCAGAGCTCCCCTTCTCCCACAAGCTCTGCTCTAAAGCAGCTCAGACACACTCAGCAAATTCAGGACATCCCCTCCAGTGTCCTATGGATGGGCACAGCTCAGGAAAGGAAAAGAGGAAAATTCCTTGGGAACCCCCCAGCTGGGACCCTCCTGGCAGTGGGATTCCCTGCCCAGCCCCAGCCCCTCCTGCACCCCCAGGGGATGCAGTGGCTCTGTCTGGAGATGGTGCTGGCAGCAAGTGCTCAGCAGAACAAGGGGGTGCCAGCAGGGCTCCCCTTCTCCCACCCCCTGTCCCCCTAATCTCTGCTCTAGACCAGCTCAGACACACTCAGCAAATTCAGGCACTGCCACAGCTCCTCAGATGCCCCCAGGACATCCCTTCCAGCGTCCTCTGGATGGGCACAGCTCAGGAAAGGAAAATTCCTTGGGAATTTCCCCACAATCTGGAGACAGAGCTGGCAGGAAGTGCCCAGTGGTGTGGGGGCCAGCAGGGCTCCCCTTCTCCCACAAGCTCTGCTCAGCAAATTCAGGCAGAGCCACAAGCATCACCCCCAGCCTGGGCCAGCAACGGGGATTGGGGTGCCTGGGGGGGACACCCTGGCCAAAAGGGGGTCAGCAGACAAGGGGACAGCCTGGCAGGGCCCTGGGGTCGGGCAGCAGCCAGTGCCAAGCCCCAGGCAGGTGCTGCTCCACCGAGCGTGAATAATCCCGAGGCGCCGAGCGGGAAGGGAGCGAAAGCAACTCCGGCTGCTTTTTATAGCAGCTAAAAATAACCCCCCCCCTGCAGCCAGCAGCCATAAATTCCCCAAGAAAACCTCAAAGGGAGGTGGAAGGAGCTGAAGGAGGATGCGGGTGGGGGTCTCGGGCAGGCGCCAGCACGTCACTGTCACCGGGCTGGACGGTGCCAGCGGGGACAGCCGGGGTGCCAGGTCCTGTCCCAGTGCTCTGCTGACTCATGGCACAACCTTCCCTCAGTCACCGTGACCCCCACAGCTTGCCCAGCCTCAGTTTCCCCAGCCAGCAGGGCCTGGGTGCTGTGACAGGGTGGACCTGGCCAAGAGTTGGTCCTGATTTCCTTCACAGAGCTGGGGATGGCACCAACGCTTGTCCCT